CCAAATCTTTCATAATCACACGAGGTACCAGTAGTCCAAGAAACTAGTAATAAGAGCTTTGGAGCAATTACTTTCATGTATTACTCATAGGTGTGATTTATGATCCTTTCTTTCAGGATTGGTGTCCTAAATTAATCCACCCTCAGTCTCCAAAATTGGACAAGGCTGTCATTATTTTTCCCTAAAGCTGTCAAGAATGAGTGACCAATTTGCTAAATTTATAGATCAGCTATGCTCTTGACAAGCAGGACTATTCTAAATACTACCCACAACTTAATTGTTTCCTTCTTGTTTTACTTATTGTCTCATTTGAATATTTGAATACAGCCATTTTTTCAGTTATGAGCCAGGATTACAAGGATTGCCATTATTTTAAAACAATAACTGCTTGAACTGACCTGAACTCTTTTTCTCATAGCAGCCACATTATTGTGAATACCAAATTTTGGTTCTCGGTTTGGATGGGGCTGGAAAAAGCACCATTCTTCACTATGTATGTAGTCCAGAAGCCAAGAAGCATATAGCACCTACTCAAGGCTTCAGCTCAGTGCAGCTGCAGGCCAGTGGGCTCCAGATGGACCTTCTAGAAGGTAAGCCCTGTTTGGAAATAGGGCACAATCTGCAACACACTGCATGTCCGGCACGTGTGCAGGAAAGATGGGTCTGGAACTTCTTCTATGATAGCAATCACTGGCTTTGTTCAGAGAAACCACACTTAACTTCTAACTATACCATAAACTAAGCCTCAAAAAGCCTAACTGAGGTTAATAATATCCAAACAACCAACTTCTTTAAAACTGATCTATGTTAACATCGGTTTCTATCTAACGTATATTGAAGTAAGGGAAAACTGTCTTGAAACCCTTCTCCTGAATTGAATTTATGTCTTCTGTGCTGGGAATCTCTTTATGTCTATGACTTGTCCATTTTTGTATCTTTCAGCCTGAACAATGCATGAGAGATGAATAGATATTTTGATGCAATGGAGAAAAATCTCCCTCTTATTTAAATCCACATCTGCATTCCAGTCATGGGAAAGATGCTCGTGATATGCTGTAAAGAAATAATTTCTCATGATTTGTTCCTCAGTGTGGGCACTGCAATTAAGCACATCTGGAGGGCATCACAATTAGAAAGAATGCTAATTCTTGTATTTGTATTTTTGCTCTTTGTTTTACTAGTTGGTGGGAGCCAGAATCTACGCTTCTACTGGAACCAATATCTGAGCAAAGCCCACATTTTGGTGTTTGTTGTAGACTCTGCAGATGGCTCACGCCTTCATGTTGCTCGGCAGGAGCTCCACTGCCTGCTAGCTGAGGACCCTCAGCTGCCTTTGATAGTCTTAGCCAACAAACAGGTGAGTCCCTTGCTATCTTTCACATGCTACATTCTAAAATTGTAGCTTGATATAAATGGACTTGTGATGGAAGAGCAGCTTGTGATGCGAGAGTGACTCTGTGAGAGTCCTTTGACTCACACCATTAGTTTTCCTAGATTACCATTCTGTACTTCCAAAATCTCTTAAAGTTTGCAAGAATGCAACCAAACTGTAACAGTAATTACCAATAACACAATTTCTTACTAATTTTGAGAAGTGAAAAAAGAAACATCAGCATATATTAAGCTTAATCCTCAGGCAAATGCAGAAAAATACAAAACTGTGGCATAGCTCTTACAGGAAAGGCCTAAGGTGTTTAAAATGACTGATTGTGTATCTATTCTAGGACAAGAGTGATGCCCTGAGTGTGGCAGAATTGCGAGAGGAGCTGGCCTTGCACAACCTGGATAGTCAGAGGACATTCTTTCTCTTGCCCACAAGTGCAACTTATGCTGGTCTGACCACTGCGAACAGTGTTCTTCACTTGAAGCACCTGCTGGTCAACATTCTTGCCCATTCAAGTAAGATGGACTCTCTGTGACTGTGCCTCTCAGCAATAACTTTTTCCACATGGTCAGGAAGCCTTTCTTCTTAAAAGCCTACCTAGGCATTTACCAAATGCACTTGGAGAAGGAATTCCACTTACCAATATAGCCTTGGAGATAACTCCTATTGTTTTGGATAAGACGGAAGGAAAACAAAGGCAAAATACATTGTTTGAGTGGGGCATAAATCAATCTCAGAGACTAGCTACTGAAAGGAGCTGCTGCTCTTTTCACAAACCTAAAGAACTATAATACCAATATTTGCATTAAGACTTTGCATTCTTCTTTACTGGATCTACTAGTTGACTTTACAATCAGCAGGAAAAGATAATTCAATGACTTTATATAGCGACAACTAAGAAAGTCATTTTATAGGCTCTTTGCCTATGAAATGACTTTGTTATTTCAAAAGCTAGGGGTTAGTCTTGGCCCATAAAGGGTTACTTCATCCTGACTGCAGCTAAGGGAGAGTAGTATGTACTGAAATTGGTGGCTTGTCTAGGTTTGAGGGATCCTTGATGGAATATCTTTTATTTCTGGTTAAGCAGGTTGGAACAGTTGTGCCTTGAACTTATGCCAAAGCTACTTCAGTCACTGACTCTGCTATCTTCTTATTTATTAGTTGATTCTTAAGTAACCTCCACAAGGTCTAAGAGAACTGGAAAGTTTGGGTTAGATCACGAAGAGATGCACAAAACTAACATCCTCCAAACTAGCTGAGCTCAACTGTCAATTTCCCATGTTGGCTAGGAAGTCTGAGATGCAGACCAACACATGCAGGTGTCCCTGATAATGGCAAAGTTGTTCAGCAGTAAGATACTTGAGTATTCCTATTTGATCTCAACCCCTCAGGGGCTCTTAAAAGTTTTTATTTCTGCTCCATTATACAAAGTATTATCAATACAAAAGCTATTGTGAGCTAGTAATTGCTGATACAAACTACAGGTAGGCCACATCATATGGGCTACCAATAACATTCTCTTAAATTTCTAATGAAGAAAAAACAGCCATTTGCCTCACCTCTGCATTAAAGCATAATTCTACATGTGCAGGAAACCAATCCCATCTTCAGGCAATTTGTCTCTATAGCTCTAATGATGTTACAAATAGAAATGATGCTGTTTCTTAAATAGGAAAATGATGCATATACTCTCTAATGCTCCCTCTTCAGGATTTTTGTTTGGATTAAGCTTCTTTTGTACAACTTACATTTTAACCATCCCCCTCCTTTATTTATCCTATCACGGAATATAGGAAACCTGAATAATACATCTTAGCCATATATGCAATAGGCGATTGCTAACAAATGCTTTGTATTTTTTATCAATAAAATTTGTGTTGTAAGATATGACTCTGCTCTTCACTACTTGAGGAATCCTGCGTACAATTATCAGGATACAATTATTGCCAATGACCATTTTCATCAGATATTACTTGGGATTAGACAGCTTTTTAGTCCTTCGGGAGTTTCAGCAGAGAATTCAGAAGCTTCATCAACTGCAAATTCCTGTGGTAGCTGCATGACAATGTATAACAGGGCTTTTCAACCAGTGGTATGGGTACCACTTGTGGTACATTGGCACCTGGCAGGTGGTACGCAACCATCCTAGAAAAGTAGCGGGGGAGGGGAATGAGCTGAACTGGTGGCAGCACCGCACAAGCCTGAGCAAGAGATGGCTGGAGCTGCAGGGCTTTCAGGGCTCAGTGGAAGCGCCAGGATCAGTGCCGCTTTCCAGCTGATCGGCACTTCTTTGAGGCTGTCAGGGCTCAGTGGAAGCGCCAGGATCAGCGCCAGGTTCCAGCTGGAGCTCGGTGCTGATCCTGGTGCTTCTGCTGAGCCCTGAAGAAGCACCAATCAGCTGGAAAGCCACACTGATCCTGATGCTTCTGCTGAGCCCAGAAGCGCCAATCAGCTGGAATGTTGCAGCATCTCCAGGGTCTTGTGATTTACATTCAAATGCTTGGGAACTGATTCATATTTATGACGATCAGTGTCCCAGGGTCATGTGAAGTGACCAAAACCTGCTGCAACCACCCAGCAGATGGGGGGAATAAAAACCAAACACCCCCCCCACCCTACCCCCATTGCCAATCCTCAACAGAAATGCTCACAACAATGAAAACCTCGGACAGGAGGAAGAGCGCCACCAGGCGCTGTCTTGCTCGGCTGTGGCTTGGAGGAGCACTTTTTTCAGTGCCATTATAACTTTGAACAGTCACTAAGCAAACTGTTGTAAGTCGAAGACTAACAGTACTTTATCACTTTTTTCCTTTTTTTTTTGGTCATCAAGTTTTTGACACCTTGCTAGGCGACTGGTGGTACTCGGATGTTGCCATATCCTAAAAGTGGTACAATGGGTGAAAAGGTTGAAAAGCCCTGATGTATAACTGCAGTTTCAGTCTCCAGAGACACAAAGAAGAATTAATGCTGTTTCTACTTTTAAAATTGCCGAGGAAAGATGACTTGACAATCCATAATGTATCATATATTAGGAATCCTCATTTCACCATTTCCATCAGGCAGGACAGTGACTTCTTCCCTCCCATAAATATGGACTAGGATTTATTGAGAGAGTTAGCATCCCTTTGGGATAGACCCTTACTGGAGAGTGGAGATAGCTCTTTCTGGCCAAGTTTACTAGTTCTGATGCTTTAATCCTGATGCCCTCATCTTATTTCTCAGAAAGGAACCTACTATTTGAGGCTACTGTTATTGTGCTCTTTCCAAAATGCTCAAAAAGTGGACAAGGTAGTCTACAATTCACCTCTGCTCTTGTAACTAACATATTTTTTTCAATAAGCTCTATAAGGTTTAGGGAAATCATTTATGTCAACCAAGATCGCTACAAGGCAAAATCATATTTGGCCATTTTAAGAGATATTTTGCCTTGAAGAACCATCAGAGAAATAAATAAACCTAAAAGCTGACTGAAATTTTATACACTGCATCTGTATTTTCTTATCTCTTTTTAGAAGGCAATACTTTATGTAATTCAAGTATCAGTTTTTTAGTCCCAATTACTTAAATCCATGTCAGCAGATGAAATTATGATTTAGCATTATTATCCTCATAATTATTGCTCCATTTTTTCTTGCCGTAAAGATGCAATGAATGTCTGGTACTCCTCGGGATAGAAGCGTTTATACACATTGATCTTCCTCTTTATTTGTTTTGGTGTATCCTGGTAATAGTTCTTCTCATCACGAGCCATAGCCTAGGCAATAAATTAAAGTATAAATTAACAGAGAAGCAGTTTTATATCAACATATAGTTTCAGAAAGTCCCCACACCCAGAAAGCAAGCAGTACATTAAACATCAAGTCTCAAGGAGAGGCTGTACATAAAGCAAATACAGCCACAGAACTGCAGTTAAAAAAAAAGATAGATTCAGATGCTGGATGCAATTTCCTAGAGAATGGGGAGGGAACTAGTTGCCCTCCAGATATTTTGAATTCTGCCTGCAGCAAAGGATTATAAGAACTCCAGTACAGGCCCTAGATTTCTTACTTCAGTTCAAATGTCCATTTCAGAAAAATCATACATTTTGTTAAGCAAGAAACACTGTACAAAGCAATATGAGCAAACAGAGGAAACATATCCTTTTATAAAACTGCCTACATAATGCATAATGTATCAATAATCCTATTATATAAATAAATACAAGACTTAACAATCATGAAAATCATTCATATTAAAACTCATGTCCAGATCTGACTACAGTTTATAAAAATGTGGGAGGAAAATAAAGATCCAGAAAAGTCTCTCTGGGGAAAATGTTAGTACTCAAAAGATCTTCTGTTTTAAATACTTACTCCCCTGTGAGAGGAGATCTCACCCGGCCAAGCTGTTTCAAAGGCATCTACAGATTAAAACTCACTTGGAATTGTCCTTGGAATAACTGGAAGCAAGTGCAGGAGGCAAACAGACGGAGCGTTGGCTTACCTGAATGCCTCTTCTCAGCATGATGATGAAGAATCCACCAATGGGTTATTTCAGTCCTCCTGCCCAATCAGACTAAGTTGTCAAGTTGTCACGCCCCTCCTTGACTGGAGCCACCCAGTTTCATCAACGGCATAGCCAATGACAACAGTTCGACGTGATGACTCTCAGAGCAGGTACAAGGAAAAAAACAACCACAAGCACCTGGCCCAGACCTAACTGACCTCTAGAAGGGAGGGCGTGGATTCTTCATCATGCTGAGAAGAGGCGTTCAGGTAAGCCAACGCTCCTTCTCCAGCATGATGACTGAAGAATCCACCAATGGGATGTACCAAAGCTCTCAAAGTCCCTATGGGAGGGGGTCAGTTGAGGCCTGTGATCCTGATGCAGTGACCACTTGTTGGAGAATTCGTCTACCAAAGGCAGCCTCAGCCGAGGCAAACTTGTCTAAACCATAATGCCTAATAAAAGGTGAAGGCGAGGACCATGTCGCCACCCTGCAAATATCCTCAATGGACGCTTGAGTTGCCCACGCCGCAGATGTGGCAGCACTGCGGGTGGAGTGAGCCATCACATGACTAGGAATGGGCAGGGCAAGTGATACGTACGCACCTGCTATGCAAGCCCTGATCCACCTATCTATCGTGGAAGTGGATACCTTTTTGCCCATAGATGAAGGCTGAAAGGATACAAACAGGGCTTCAGTCTTACGAAACGCCGCCGTGCATTTGATATAACAGCGCAAGGCTCTCCTTACATCCAATGAATGCTATTGTCGTTCCAAATCATGTGATGGGCGGGGACAGAAGTCTGGGAGAATCACCTCCTGTGATCTATGGAACACTGTGTTTATCTTAGGAATAAACGATGGATCTAACCTAAGAACTACCCTGTTGTCGTGGAACGTGCACAGGTCCTTCCTGATGGATAAAGCGGCCAGTTCCGATATGCACCTGGCGGAGATAATGGCTATCAGGAAGGAGACCTTAAGTGACAGGAACCGCAACGAACAAGTCTTAATGGGTTCAAAGGGTGAAGAGGTTAATGCCTGTAGAACCCGGGGTAGCTCCCAGGAGGGATACCTGTGAACCACGGGAGGTCTGCTATTGGTGACTCCCTTAAGGAAGGAGCGTATTGAAGGGTGCTAGGACAAAGAGTCTGAAGCGTCCCAGGAGAGCACCATGGACAGAGCCGCTACCTGTCTGCGAATAGTGTTGGCTGACAACCCCTTGTTTACGCCCTCCAACAAGTAATCCAATACCCTTGGAATACTTACCTGGGACAGACTCATGTGATTTTTGTCACACCAGGGACAGAAGTTCCTCCACGTATGATTGTAAATATGATTAGTCGCCAGTCTCCTGGCAGCTTGGATCATATCAATCACCCCTGATGAGTACGACTCCTGAGTCAGGGTGTGGCGTTCAAGTGCCAGGCGGTCAATTGTAACCATTGGGGTCTGGATGTTGTAGATCCCCGTGTTAACCGTATGCAACTGCCGGGGATCTGCCACGGAGCTGAGACAGAGAGGCTCACTAGGTCTGCGAACCACGGCCTTCTGGGCCAGTGAGGTGCAATAAAAATTAACTCCGCCTGCTCCTCCAGGATCTTCCTGACAACTGCTGGAAGCAGAGGGAGTGGGGGAAAGGCGTACAAAAGGCTTTGCGGCCACTGGCTGCATAGGGCGTCCGTTCCCTCTGCCCCAAGAGGGGAAGCGAGAAAAGAATCTGGGCAGTTGGGTGTTCTCTGGTGAGGCGAAAAGGTCCACAATCAGATGGCCAAATCTGTCAAAGACCTCCCTGAAGATATCCGGGTGTAATCTCCATTCCGAATGGTCTACTATCGACCTGCTGAGGAAATCTGCCTGATGATTTGCCTCTCCCGAGATGTGCTCTGCTTTGATGGAAAGCAGACTGCTCTCTGCCCAGCTCAGTGCTCGAGCCTCCGTCATAAGTGACCTGGACCGAGTGCCCCCTTGCCAATTCACGTGAGCTTTTGCAGCCACGCTGTCTGTTAGAACCACCACATGTTGCCCCTTGAGTATTGTCTGCAAATGTCTGAGAGCCAGATGGATCGCTCTGAGTTCCAACCAATTTATGCTGTGCCTCAGGTCTGTCCGTGACCACTGACCTTGAGCCATCTGGGTTTGGAGGTGTGCACCCCAACTGAAAAGACTTGTGTCCGTGTTCACACTGATACGACGAGGCTCCTTGAAAAAGGTCCCCTTGAGAATCGCCGAGGATGTCCACCAGCCGAAAGACGCACCTGACGAGGGACGCGCACTAACTGGTTGGAGGTACTGGTGTGTTGTCTCTGGTACGGGAGCAGAAACCACTGAAGGTGCCTAGCATGTAGTCGGGCCCACGGCATTATCAATATGCAGGATATTAACTTCCCCAGGAGCTGGGAAACGAGAGCCAGTGTAACTGCCCTGCTCCTGCGTACCCTGAGTGCCAGATCTCTGATGCTCCTGCATCGTTCCTCTGACAGGAACACATGGCAAGAGTCCGTGCCTATTACCGTGCCCAAGTATAACAGGTGGATCGAGGGAGATGTCTGGCTCTTTTTGAAATTTATCAAGAACCCGTGTTTCTGGAGAGTCCTGATAGTGAGAGCCAAATCCAACTGGGTGGACGTGACTGAATGAGATTGGATCAATATGTTGTCCAGGTAACACTGGACGCGTACCAGGACAAATCTCAAATGAGCTGCCAGTACCGCCAGGATCTTGGTGAAAACCCTGGGGGCGGAGGAGAGGCCGAATGGTAGAGCCCTGTACTGGAAGTGGTGGTTGAGGTAACAGAATCGCAGAAACCTGCGATGCTCTGGGAGAATGGGGAATGTGTAAATATGCCTCTGTTAGATCTATTGAGGTCATGAGATCTCCTCGCCTGACTCTGGCCAGGATTGAATGGAGCGTCTGCATTTTGAACTTCCGGTACTGAAGATGGAGGTTCAGACCCTTGAGGTCGAGGATAGCTCTCCATCCCCCTGAGGATTTGGGGACTACAAATAGTATGGAGTAATACCCTCATCCCACCTAATTCAGGGGGACCTCCTCTATGGCCTTGATACTGAGTAAGTGTTGAATGGCGTCTTCCATGAGCCCTCTTTTTATTGAGTTTCTCATGGCTGGACAAGACACGAAATAGTCTACGGGCATGGATTTGAACTCCAGGGACAGGCCTTCTTTTATGGTACACAGGCCTTCTTTTATGGTACACAGAACCCAGGAGTCTGTGGTTGTGTTTTACCATTGGCGGATGAAAAAACTGAGCCTGCCGCCAATGGGGGGAGCCCCTCCCGAGTCACTTGGTGCAGTGGAAGGGACGACCCCCTCTGCCACAAAAGGAAGACTTGGCCTGGGCCTGATACTGGGACCAGTCCCTGTAGTTTGCCCTATCAAAGGAACGTTCCGGTTTGGGTGCTGGAGGCCAGTAGGATTGACCCGTCTCTGCCGGAACTCCAGCCCGAAAGGACTGACGCTGCCCATAGGGGAGAAAGCGTCTGCTGGCCCTCCTTGTCAAATGAGAGATTACTTTCTGCTTTTGTTTGTTCTCAATGAGATACGGAGTCAAAGCCTCGCCAAACACCCTGCCTCCCTTGAAGGGAGCGGTGGCTGCTCGCCACTTATGTTTGCTCTCGGCCCTCCAATTCTTAAGCCAGAGCAGCCTCCAAGTGACTAGGCCGGAGGCCATTGCCCGGGCCGAGTGTTTGGCAGAGTATAAAGATACATCTGCCATATACTCAGACGTTGCTATGAGTTTGGTCAGATCCTGGTGGATTCTGACCTCCTCCTGGGGAATTCTATCCTGTAACTGTCTAAGCCAGGTAAGGGAGATTCTGGCGAAGAATGATGTGGAGGTCGCCGCCTTCGCTGCCCATGCAGATGCCAAGTGAAATTTGTGCAACGCTAGTTCAGACTTCTTATCCTCTGCCTTAAGGGCATCCGAAACATCTGCAGGGAGACCGGCTGTCGAAAAAAGTGGGGCTAGAGTTTCATCCACTTTGGGCACCTCCAATAAATCAGTCAGATTTTGAGCCACGTCTACAATCTTACGCTCAGCCGCTCCTTGGGATGGCTGAGCTGCCGGTGATTCCCATTGTCCTTGAATGTTCTTCAGGAACAAGGGGGGACAGGGTATTCGTAGGTGTTTAACTACAGGTACAGCGAACAAGGGGTTTGTGTCCTGATCGATGGAACCCTGTGGGGTGGGAACTGGATCGGAGGTGAGCTTAACCGCTGCGCAGGCCCTGCGCAGCAAAGAAGGAAACAAAGATATATTGAAGAGCTCTGCCATGGGCTGGGAGTCTTGTGTGGGCTCCTCACAATCTGACCATCGGTCTGCACCGTTGTCATAATCCGAGTCATTGGAAGAATCGGAATCAGGAGAGTGTGATGGTGAGACCATGCCGGAATGATCCAGTATGGGTCGTGATGAGGTAGTGAACGCTGATGAAGGACCCGGAATGGGTGACGTTTGATGGTGGCCCGATGATGCCATGGCTTGAAGAACCGCCTGCGATATCATCAATTGTAGCTGGTCTGTGAAGCACGGCTCTAGCGGAGGCCGTAACCCTGCAGCCGTCGGCGTGAATGTCGCTGATAGTGCCGTAGAGGGGCCTGGCAGGTTGAGGTCCTCCCCCAAAAGGGGTGGTCCTCCCTGACCAAAGGTCTGAATCAAGACCTACTGATGTCCACGCTCCGGTGACCACACCCTCGATGAAGACAGTAGTTGTGCTCCTGTCCCAGGGACTGCTGCTGGGGGAAGCGGAGGCGTATGTTCTTGCCCAGCTGACAAGCGTTGGGCCCAGGAGAATTGCTTCTCCAGGACTCTGTGTGTGTGCTCAGCCTGCTTATCGCTTGCCTTACCAGCCTTCCTGCCGTATTTGGATTTCGCTTTGGCCTTTCCCTTAGGTGCTTCTGGAACCAGAGCGGCTTGGTTGGATTGGCTATCCGTGTCCAAAGGCTATGGCTCAGTGTTGTCTGCCATGTTGATCAAGAGGCATCCCAGATGAGGGTCTGGAACTGACTCGCTCTGCAAGAGATGTCAGGAGGCCACCCGGTGAGGGACTGACTGCACGTGGAGTAACGTGAGCCGGCCCACTGGCTAAGCCGGGCTCACGCTAGATGCAACAAGGCGCTCATCACCAGGGCAATAGACAATCCGTATGTCAGCCCTGAGGCTTAAAAGGTGACAAAATAACATGTGTCTCACAAAAGTGGCAATGGTCAGAACTGGCAAGCAACCACTAGATGCAGAGTGGCAGATACTAAGGCGATGTTAGGCGAGCAAGGCCTGATAGTCTGTCAAGGCAGCACATTAGCTGGATCCACAAATCTTGTTGTGATTGTGATGTCTCAATTGAATTTGGAACAAAACATACAGAAAACCTAAACTTAAGACTAGAGTGAGTCCACAACAATTATATACATGCCTATCTATAAGAATCTATATTTATATATCTATATATATTTATCTATCTATAACCTATATATATCAATAAATAAAAATGATTTGAATTGTTGTGAACTAAGCCCCCAAAATGGCGACTGTGACTGGGAAACGTGTTCGAAGCTTCCTTAAAGAAATGTGCAGCCTCACAAAATGGCGGACGCCCTGAACCCAGGAAGAGAGGGGGGGGACTAATGATTGAGATTTGGGGTCGATCTAATAACAATAAGGCTTCAGGAACTCCCGGGTCCAAAGCTTGAATGGGGAAATTCGAACAAATCGCGCCCAACAGCTGTTGGGCGCGACGGAGCACGCCGCGCTTTGCGAGGCCTCCTTCGATCCGAAAGGCAGCCGGAGCTAAACACTTAAAAAACCCTTTTCTTGTTCCCCGCAGCGCTCGTAATCCACTCAGCTCAGTCTATCAGCCTGCTGAAAAACCTTCAGCAAAAGGCTGAAGGCCGAACGGGCCCAAAATGGCGGCCCTGAGCTAAGTAGATCCGACCGAGCCCAGTCAGAAGTATGAGGCCACATGGCCTCAAAATGGCGACCACAAGAGAAATTAGAAGTCTCTGAGGGGAAAAACAGCTCCGCTAATTATGGAGATAAAAATCACCCCCTTTTCGTACCTAAGAGGTGCTGGGAATAAACTCAGCAGTAAATTTAGGGGAAAACAGCCACCCCCCCTTAAGGTATAGAGGAATACTGCGTTCCTCCTCTGTTCAAAGGAGGGGAATAGGGTTGAGAATCCCCTGTGAAGGGAATAATCAGAGGCTAGGAGCCTCTAATTCTCTAATCCAAAGAGTCCACTAATGGGTTTACATTGATTTAGTCTAACCTGCAATTCAGTCAAACCTGAGAGTCAAGTTATCACGTCCTCATGGGCAAAAGACTAAGATGAAACTGGGTGGCTCCAGTCAAGGAGGGGCATGACAACTTGACAACTTAGTCTGATTGGGCAGGAGGACTGAAATAACCCATTGATGGATTCTTCAGTCATCATGCTGGAGAATGGCATGATGTGGTAATAACAGCCAGTGCTTCTCACTTTGAAAATCTAATTATTATAATTGGGATTATCTGATCTGATTTTCATATCATTTTCTAATGCTGTATTGCAGTTAAACAAAATAATATCAAATGAAAATAATTACAAAATTATCTCTGGCCAAAAAAATCAGAAGGTCTACCTTATAATTTTCACCATGATTCTGAATCATGTGTTTGACGTAGTCAATAAGGTCTGTGGAGAGGGTCTCGGATTTTTTCTCTGGAAAGCTGGCTTCATATTCCAATTCTGGGCATAAAGAAAAGAAAGCAAGAAGGTATTAAGAAATGTTTGCACACTATGAAACCTCCTTTTGTGGAAATAGAATAGCTCTACCCAACCATTACATCATGGAAGTCACATCCCTTTCCTCCAATAGGAGACATGCCCAGGCTTGCCTGAAAAAAGATGCATTATTTTCGTAACAGCAGACACAATGTATTCATGTTAAACTCTCACCCTAGTTTCTAATTATTATCAAACTAATTATAAAATACAGTTCGCATTCAAAACCACACACCCCAAAAATTGAATATCTGCTACATCTGATAATAAGCAAGAAGAAAAGAAAACTGCACTTAATTGGAATACCAAGATCTCTAATGAAGGATCTCCCTATGAAGAATAACATCTGTGTCACACTCTGCCAATATGAAGTAATACCCACCATTTATTACATATGGCTTCCTAATGGTTTTTGTCTCTGCCTCTTGTCCATCGATTTCCATTTTCATACCCTGTAATTTAAAAGACATGACAACTCACATCATACAAAAAGGCAGCTAGGAATTATTTTGTATTTTTTTTAACCCCAATGTTATCATTTTATACTAATGGTTAACACATTTTAAATACTTAAAAGGATCAGTAACTTTCTTTTGGTATCTAATTGGAGGCAGTGTTACATCACATAGTTTCAAATTATTATATAATTCAAGTAGAGATAGCTATTTTATAAGTCTTTAGCACTCTACCATTTATTGCTCAGGATAGCTCTGGATGTCAGCACCAGAGGGCATTAAGTGAATAAATGAAATGCCAAGATTTGGAAATAGCTCTTCAACTATTTCAATTTCCTAAAAAGTAAGATAGTCGGGCAAAAGAAGAATTTACTTCTAAACCAAAAACTGGGTTAATGACAGTTTAGTTACAATTTTATTTCTCATGCATACTTTATATTTAACCAATACCATCTGAGATTTACTGGAAAAATTCTAGAGAAACATTTTCATGATGTACTTTTCTAACCAGTTATGCCATTTTCATTTTCCAATTAATGTCTTCCTGGAACATCAATCAAATAAATAGAGCAAGCTCCTAAATTATAAACTTGATTTATACTTTTCATTCAACATTCAAGTGGTAACTTGGAATTCATACAGCACTAACCTTTGGAATGGGAATTGCCTTGTTTGGATCAACAGCCAGGCCCATTTCTGCCAAATTCTTAGAAGCTGATTTGGTGCTATCCCAGGCATGTCGGATTTGAGCACTGAAGAGAAATAGGGATGGGGGAGAGAGAGAGAGATAAAGCAGAGCATCAATGCTATGTAATCTTGAAGAGATTCCTCTCTTTTCAATAGTAATGACCACACTTTTGCAATCAAGACAGTTTTTGCATCCAAAACAAAGCAACAAATGGCAGCCCTCTCCCCCAATTCAAGTGCACTGGGCACTGGAATGTTAATTTGATGCTGAAAATCTCAAATCTATATGTGCCCCTCTCTTTCCACAACTGGAAAAGCACATTTAAATCAGGGGTTCCCAACCCCTGGTCCATGGACCGGTACCAGGCCGCAGTATGCTAGCAACTGGGCCGCACAAACAAGCAAAGCCCCATCTGTGGGATGCAAGCAGCACACAAAACCACACCCCCTCCAGTCCATGGAAAAACCTCTCTCCATATAACCGGTCCCTGGTGCCCAAAGGTTGAGGACCTCTGCTTTAAATGACAATCTGCTGGTATTTCATGACATATAAAATGGGCTGTCTATGGCAGGGCTTTTCAACCGGTGGTACGCATACCACTTGTGGTACATTAATGAGTGGCAGGTGGTACGCAGCCCTGCCTAGCCAACTGTAGTGGGGGAGGGAAAGAGCCAGCACAGGGAAGGACTGTGAGGCAAGGCAGTGAGAGAGTCATCTGGAGCTGCAAAGGCCCAGACTCACTTCTGGCTCACCCTCCCCCATGAGAAAGGAAGAGGGGCAGAGACAGTAGAGCCTATAAGAGGAGGCAGTTTGGGCAGGAGAGGGAGAGGGAGAGAAAAAAAAGCAGCAGCCTTGGGAGGAGGCAGAGTCAGCTGCACAGGAGGGGGAGGGGGAGAGTGGGGGGAGAGGAGATCAAGCAGGCTGGCCATGAGCTGATCTACAACTGCTATGGCAGCCACCTGTGCTGGCAGCAGCAAACAGGCAAGAAATGCAGTGGGGGAGGGAATGAAAAAAGGCAGCAATGTCTGGCTGAGGAATTCTGGGAGTTGAAGTCCACAAGTCTTAAAGTTGCCAGGTTGAGAACCCCTGCTTCAGAAGGAGATGGGAATGAGAAAAAGGGAGGCAGGGAAGGGAGGGAGGAAAGGAAGTTCCGCCTTAGCACTTGGCCACCAGCAGCTCTGCCATTAACTTTGCTTGCAGAAGGGGATCACATGACCATTATAAATATGAATCAGTTGCCAAGCATCCAAATATAAATCACATGATCCTGGGCATCCTGCAATGGTCATAAGCCTTTTCAGTGCAATTGCAACTTTGAACAGGTTTTTTTTTTTTGGTTAAGTTTTTGATACCTTGCTGGGTGGTACTCGAATATTGCTATATCCTAAAAGTGGTACAATTGGTAAAAAGGTTGAAAAGCCCTGGTCTATGGCAGCTATCTCAACTCTACCTAACAACTGATCCTGTACAACTGTCTAGTGCCTTAAAAAATCTTGTATTTCAACATATCTGTCTAAAGATATTTCAAGTATCATTAAGAGGCAATCTTCTTTAGCATAATTTGGTTTCATTTCATTATTTCTTTTAAAACTTACTCATCTTCTTGAATATTTTACCTTTTTTATACATGAAAAGGAGTCATTATAGCAATGATAATGAAGCACTCGCCATAACTTGAGTTGAGCCATTTTCATTCTATATTTTTTTTAACCAAATCTAATTCTGCCATTCTTCATTTATTCTTCATTCTATCAATTCTTCATTCTAATGATCATTTGGCCCTGAACTCTATATCCACCAGTATTTTTCCAGGGGAAATTAGCATGGAATAGACATCATAGATAACTAAAAGAATCAGAAGTTGAACCAATATTCTGCATTCCATGATTGAAATCTCCGTGGGGAGATAGTTGAATAGGAGTAGTTATCTAGAAAACAGAGAAAATGCAGGATTAAAGGAGCAGCTAGTGTGCAACTCAGGAAAAGGCAAGGAAAAGTGAGACAACGGGGATGCAGGATTTATAGTTTTAATTTTACAATGAGGACATGTGGTTTATGTTGCTGCAGTTTTTATAATGCATTATTTTCCTATCATTAGCCACTCCAAACTATCCAGATCCCTTTTTTAGCGGATAATATAATTCAAAGAAAGAAACATGCACACTGGGCTGTTTTGGGAACAAAACCCACGTTGACAGGTTTTGAAGACGATCTCGCCAACACCATTTTATTATTATTGTTGTTGTTGTTATGTCAAAGCTTAGTTAAAACAGAGGCGGCGCTGCTATTACTGTGTAGAAAAAGCAGGATTCGATGGCCTTCGGGAGCGATGCTCAAGTCAGACGAACCACGAACCAGCCTCCCTCATTTTAGCCTGGCGTGTTAAATCAGTCCAGACTTTACGGTTGGTTCAAGGTATGTGGGAAAGGCAGAAATGGCTGAATAAATCCTAAATAACTGAAAAATTGGCAAGCACGTCGTGCAAATGCAGTCCTTCCAGACGTCTCAAATGATCGACAGGGAGGAGCCCTCATACCGTATCTAAACTGACGCTCGTCCCCAAATAATGACTGAACAGCCACTTTTCCCTACTCACCATTTTATTCGAGGGGCCGACCGCTTGCGGGAAGCCCGGTTCAGTTTTTTGCGGTTGATGTTATAATTATACTTCTTCCGACGCTGCTTCTGCTTGGCTTTCGGCATTGTTGCAGCTCTCGAGGCCAACTTAAAAGGGCCACGCGCTTCCCCGCTCAAGCCCTTACTATCGTAGCTAAAGCATCAGTCGGACCAATGATCGCAATGGCAGATGGGATTGGTAGTTCTGCCTGTTCGGTCAGCATAGCCGAGATGCATTAAATTGAACTACGTTTCCCAGAGTGCTAGAGCGGGGGAGGGAATCATTTCCCAGATTCATGTGAAAAGCACGATTGGCTGGCATCGGCGCCTGAGACCTCCTTTAACGATAGAGGAAGAGTCGCGCATGGTTAGAGCGAATTGAGAGGTGACCTTTGCGCGTCGGCATCTGGCGAGAACTGCCATGGCTCAGAGTCCTCCGCCGCCATTTGATCCCTACCGACCACCGGTTATTGAAGGCTTTACTCCGACTTCTTATCGGGGCGAGGCCGAACACTTCCAAAGCAAGTTCATACGCAAGTTCCGCCAGAATCCATTTGTGCCCCTCGGTGAGCCTGGGCGAGTATTCCTCTAGTCGAGTAGTAATAGCAAGCAAATTGGTGGCGGTCGGGCAGTGCGACTCTGGGGGAAAGCAGTGCGGTTATTATTTCAGTATTGCATTATTTCTTTAAAATATTTCATCTGCCTGTCCGTCCCCACCTTCTAGAGTCTAGATAGTGTTGAATAGTAAAATAAAAGATGACGGTGAAATAAACAGCTGGAAAAACAACCTAGCAGTCAAAAAATATCTAAAATGCGAAAAACAGCAAAAAGGATTTTATACTAAAGCCCAACCCTGGAAGGAATAAAAAGATTATTCCAGACTTAATGGCTCCGAATTCAGCCAGCCATCGGAAATGCATTTTTTCTGGTCTCAATCACGAGGTCCTAAGGGTTCCCGAGAAAACAAGTCCTGCTTAATTTTTTTCTCATCATTTAGCTCAGTGTTTCCCAAACTTGACAATTTTAAGGCATGACGACTTCAATTCCCAGAATTCCACAGCCAGCAATGCTGGCTGTGGAATTCTGGGAGTTGAAGTCCACATGCCTTAAAATTGTCAAGTTTGGGAAACACTGATTTAGCTCAATGTTTTCCAAACTTGGTAATCCTAAGAGGTGTGGAGTTCTACTTCCAGAATTCCCAGCCAGTTCTGAAATTTGAAGTCCACACATTTTCACGTTGCCAAATTTGATTGATTTTATTGTATTAAACAGCATAGAAATTATTGAGAAAGAGAAAGTAATCACCAGTCCCTGAGAATTGAGACTGATCAGGAAAATACTAACATTGAAAAACAAAAAATCAAATCAGTGTTTGTCCTTAACAGAAACATGAGCTGTAAAAATGGTATAAATTAAGTTTTTCCTGGTGTGAGGGAATGGAAAAGAATGTCCTACCTAAATACTATGTTTAGATCTTTTATTACCCTTTTACTATGTGAGAACTAAGTGTCAATGAACCAAAAATTCTTGACAGAACTGAGAGCTCTCAAATGAAAAGATTTGGTGGTTTATTCAGGAGATAGCCCAAGCCTCTGTTAACAAAATTTATTTATTTCCTTTTCTGCCTCTCCTTCAGGCTGCCTTGGTACAGCTGGAATTTTGACTTATGGACTCATCTGCTTCATAAACAATAAACCCAAGCAATCCCAGATGATGATGAGGGCCCGTGTTATAGCCCAGGGTTTAACTGTTGCATCCCTATTAGTGGGCATGGCTGTTACAAACATGAAGTCATCCAAGTGAACAAGCTGCTATTGTACAATATGATAATATTGTCCACTAATCTGGGTAAGAACAAGCCCACCTGCCTGCCAGCACACCATATTTTGCAGAATGATATTTCAGTGCTACTTGGGAAGTGATTTCTGGTATCAAGGAGGCCCAGTTTTGTTTAATAACATTGTTACTATATTCCATCATTTCCGATTTGTCACTGGTGTATAACATTTTTGTGTATCATAGCTATGTTTTAAGCCTATCTTTCTGATAAAGGCAGTAAGATTATCTGATGTAAACAAATCACATAGGATGGAGGACCTTTATTGTCTATTAGACAGCTATGTGGCTAAAAGTGTATCGAAAATAACATTTATTGTGGAGATTGGGTGTGATGAACACATTATATTAGGGTCAAAGAATCGTAAAGTTTTTATTCCTGATGTTATTTTTTTCTGAAATGTTGTCACTGTCAAGATTGGACAGAAGTCAGGAGGAATCTAATTGTGATTTATTAAAAACCATTGTGTTAAGATCTACTGAGATAGTCTGAAATAATTGTTAATTGATAAGGTACTTGTAATTTGCCTTGCAATTTCTGAAAAAAACTGCAGATAACTAGAATAAGACCCTTTGGTTGAAGTTGGGCTCCATTGAGCAGAAGATTTGTTGATGTAGCAGCCTCCATGCTGCATAGTGACATTCCTACCCGAGTTACTGGATTCCTTTGGTCGTTGGGGGTGGAGTCTCCAAGGCTCATAATCTTTGGTGGTTTCAACTTTTCCCCAGTCATGGGCAGTTCATAGCAACTGTCAAGCTGACTTGCCATCAAAATCCTGATGTACATCAGAGATCCTTACTTTTTGTTTCAGGGAAGTTACTACTTTATCTGAGTGTTGTGGACATTATCATCAGTCTATTACTGGGGACATATGCTCTGATTGCTTTATATTTTGTACCCCTCGCAAAACAGGAAGTGGAATCTATTAGACTAGACCAGGCATGTCAAATTCGCGATGTCACGTGACATCGCGCAACATATTGTGCCTTTTTCCCCATTGCCGGCAATGGGATGGGCGCGGTTTCGTCATGACGCATCTGACCCGTGGGCCGGCAGTTTGACATGCCTGGACTAGACCATCCAAGGCAACCAATAAACCCTGACAAGTTATAGAGGGAGGTTGGGAGGTTAAGGATCTGATGGATAATTTGGCTGAGAATTCGCTGACTGGCTGAAATAGACATGTGGCAAATGCCTTAGAACAGATTACACCAGTGTAGCCTCTCACTGTGCATGAATCCTGAGGTGTGCTTTGATTTTCCAGGGCATTTAGGAGATGAAATGCCAGATAAGCCACCTAGAGCACTATTGGAGGAAGATGAAGAGTTATTCAACCCATACAAGTTAGAGCACTCTTCCTCTCTTTTTAGCATCTGCTTGACAACATTAGGTGAGGTAATGAATTGGTTTGGGGTCAGAGACCATCGGTTTTGTGATAATACTAAGTTGTATATCTCAACCCAAGGTTGACAGAAATCAAAGTCTCATACGTATACTTGGAGGCTATCTGGTTGTGTATATGGAGGAAGATACTCTGATTCAACTGTAACAAGACCAAGCTGCTGCGGTATTGGAACTGGAGATGTTCCATTGTTAAGTCCAAATGGGAATCCATTTCATCCTGTTGCATAATTTGGGGACCTTCTTGGACTCACAGCTCCAGCTCAAGCAGATGGCAGCTATGGATGGCCTTTGCAGAAATTCATATAATGCTGTGATTGCACCATTTCCTGGACCTAGAGGCCTTTCTGAAAGCACTCATGCTTCATTCACTTCTTACGGATTATTGCAGTGTGCACTAAATGGGGCTGCTCTTGAAGACCATCAAAAACTTCAACTGATCCAGAATATAGCAACAAGCAATTATGGGCATGCTCTTGCAACGTCCCTGCTTTGTGAGCTGTACTGGTTACTGGTAGGCTTTCAAGTAAATTCATTGTGCTAGTTATTGCATAAAAACATCTCACGACATAGAGACTTCTCTGTGGCTTCTGCCCATGCTTTATGATCAAACAAATTTGTCATATCATAGCCATTAACAGTGTCATTAGATGGAATCTGCAAAACATACCTTCTTAGTCACTATACCTGCCCTCTGTAAAAATATCCTCCCACAATCTTGCCCCAAGTCCTTGTTAAAAAGAGCTTTTAAAAACTGGCTTTTCCCATGGTCCTGGGCTGGCATGGTACAGACCCTTGTGTGTTATATGACTCATTTAGAACCTTTTCCCTATATGTCTATTTTTCTTTTGTTTTCTTGTTTTATTATTATATGTTGCCCAAAGTCACAATGCCTTTATAAATTTGTAAGTAAACTGCCCTGTTGTCTCCTTCCTCCCACCCTATTTCATTCCAATTTAAATTCTGTATTAGAGTAGCCATTCCAAGCATATAAAGAAGTGAGTTGTAGTTCACAAAAGTTTATACCTTTTAATAAAATTTGCTAGTCTGAAAAGGTGTTACCAGACTCCTGATTTTTGGCTATCGTGCAGCTCTCCTACAGTGTCAAGGATAGGATAAATTGCATCTCTTTTCCAGTCTGCTCATTTTTGAACTTGCTAGATTACAACAGAATTGTTAACTTGGTCTTGCTAACTAATGGCATCTTCCACCTGTCACAGATTTTATAACAGTTTATGCCATTTTTAAAAAAGTTTCTAGCAATTCCTTTTGCATTCAAACTGCTGAATTCCGAAAGAGTGCTAGGGAAAAATTACCATTCAACAATACGTATATATATTAAGATATAAACTTACACTAATATACTTGAATGTAAATCACATTCCATAAGATTTATTTTTAAATATATTTACAGATACTAAATCTTAAAATATCTTTAAATTTTAAATAGGATTAAACCTGCTTAAAGTTTGGTCATGCTTATTGTGTGTGACAAAGTAGATGTTAAAATGTATTTTGATAAGAGCCAGAAATCTTATTAGGCTTGGAGAGAAATTTGTGACTAGCAAAAGAAAGTAAATGTAATGGCTGAGCTTGCTGCTAAAAAAAGATGGTAAGATAATAATAGAGAATGTGGAAATATTGCAGTAGAAGAGAATATACTGTATATAGCTCAGGGTTGAATTCTGGAATCCTTGGTGCGCTCTGAGCTTAGTTCTTTGTAGACATTTCATTACCTGACTAGGTAACATGATAATAATGTACCAAGGACTCCACAATGGGGAGATAATATACTCTATTTCAGACTCCCCAAAGGGCTTCTGGGTTCAAATGAATGTAACTAAAGCAAGTGTTCAAAAGGATGGTAACATAGACTACTATTGTAAGCATACTTATGTGTCCAAGATACGTCTAATCGCAGCCAAGATTCTTGGAAGAGCTTGCTTATATTTCAGTGTCTTTTCTTTAAAAATTAATGAAGAATAGATGTAATGCCAGAAGTTTAGAGAACAGCGAAGCACCAAAAAGAGGACCATGGCAATGACCATCTTGGTATCCATACTGAGAAAATAATTTGGAAACATTTAAAAAATAATGCACTGGCCCCCTGAAGGAGCCAGCAGGGTTTAGCAAGTATAGTTAACCGAAAGCAATTTGATATGCTTTAATAGGAATGACTAGCTTAGTTGTTCATTGTAAAATACTGCTTTATAAAGCCATACTAAGACCACACCTGGAATACTTCATCCAATTTTGGTCACATTACAAAAAAGATGCTGAGACTTTGGAAAAAGTGCAAAGAAGAGCAACTAAGATAATTAAAGGCCTGGAGACTAAAACATAGGAAGAACGGTTGCAAGCTTTGAGTTTGGCTAGTTAGAGAAAAGAAGGACTAGGGGGAGACATGATAGCAGTATTCCAGTATTTGAGAGGCTGCCATAAAGTGAAGGGGGTCAACTTCTTTTCCAAAGCACCAGAGGGCAGGACAAGAAACAATGGGTGGAAACTAATCAAGGGGAGAAGCAACCTGGAATTAAAGACAAAATTTCTAACAGTGAGGACAATTAACCAGTGGAACAGCTTGCCGTCAGAGGTTGTGGGTGCTTCATCACTGGAGGTTAAGAAGAGACTGGACAGTTACTTGTCTGACATGGTATAGGTTCTCCTGCTTGAGCAGGGGACTGGACTAGAAGACCTCCAAGCTCCCTTCCAGCTCTATTCTGATTGATTGATTGATTGTACTATAGTCATAGTGTATCTTGACTTTAGCAAAGAGTTCAGTGAAGTATCTCAGGAGATTCTGAGAAAGAGGATGATGGAATACAGGCTGGAATATGCTACTACTGCAAAAAAAGAATTGAATAAGTTTTATATCAAGCTAGAAAGAAAAGTCACGCGGTATGCCTCAGAGGCCTGTTCTGGACCCCATGCTGTTCAATAAATTTATAAATGGCTTGGACAGAGGTTAAATCAAATTTGGAAAAAACACAAAAAATTGAGGAGGTAGCAAATACTTTAGGCAGGAACAAGTGAGATATATTTTAATAAATGCAAAATTCTATATAGTGAGAAATTTTGTTTGAAATCATGGGCATTCCTGTATTTTAGGAATTGAGAGTTTCAAGAAAAGCTATATTAGCTGAATTTATGTATCATGCTAGCTTAGCCATAGTTTATTGATTAAATTATAATAGCAGGACTAGTAACATCAAACCTCGGGTTATAAAGCTACAGTTGAATAGGTTTCCCTATACACTGAAGCTTAACTTTGATTTAAAGTTATGCTTACCCAACACTGTAAGCCAAAACCTAACAAAGTGCATTATGCTTTAGGTCAGGTCACCAAAATAAATCCAGTCATTTTGGGCTAATCATCTTGCTGGGAGCCTAATCATGTGAAATAATGACGTTGATGCACAATCATATTATAGTGTGTGATGTCTCTCAGAAAAAAAATCCTATTTGACTATTTTCTTGCATCGTAGATCATTCTGTAGCATCTTATATCTGATAATTGTTACTCAAATATGTTAAACAGAGGAGAAAAGTTTAGTCTGATTGTCAGAGCAGACTGCTTTTCTCTATTGTGCCTCTGGATGAATTCTTACAGCCAGTTTGTAAAAACTTCTGCCACCAAAACAGCTTGAAATTACTGCTGTTTAAACCATGGAATGGGTTTAAACAATACAGGGGTATACATGTAGAACAGAGCAGATATCCAGTATGGTTCTGAAATCTTAGGCATGGCTAAAAGGAGTAGGGTTATATGAATAAAAAGGCTAGATTACACTTCCAGGGAGATAGCAGCAGTGGAAAGATTAGCTAATTGATGTCTATAATGACTTTAAATTCTTTGGTAGGTTCCTGTAATACTGTAGTTCATGTAATACTGTAGTTCAGTATTCTATATTGCATGAACTTTGCTGTCATTTGAGTCACTCAGTATACTACTGGCAGCATAATTGTTCACCATGTATGAGTTGGCTTTACTGGGCAATTAATACATAGAAGTAACATAATCTATGCTGGGCTGGATGGTTTTTTATTACCTTGTAAAGTTGTGCAGAGCCTTGTAAAATATATATAGTAAGATGTTAACGCTCTTCCCATTCAACTCAATATACAAAGATGTTAACGCTCTTCCCATTCAACTCAATATACAGCTACAGTAAATGCCTATTCAGAAGTAAAGGCTATGGATCTATATAGGGTTATAGTTTGATTCATGTATTAATGAACAGGCAACTGTGTAAACTATAGCTTGTCATATTGAAAAAACGGTTTATGCAAATAGTGACTTAGTATGACTAAAAAAGAGAAGGAAAAGTTATGACACTGATCTTGTTGCCCATTTAGAGGCATAAAACATGAATGTTTGAGAATTTAAGCCAAATAGCTCATACCCTAGGTCAGTGGTGGCGAACCTTTAGCACGGGTGCCAGAGACGGCACTCACAGCCCTCTCTGTGGGTACGCGTGCCGTTGCCCCAGTCCTAGACCTTCAGCTGGGTTTTATAAAACCTTTTCTCTTTAGGCCTCCGCTGCCATGTGCAAAAAAAAAAAAAAAGGTTCAATCAATCTGTCAATTTCAACTTCTTGCGGGGAAAAAAAAGATTTTGCAAAGTTGGAATTGATTGATTGAACTTTGTAGTCCCACCCAGTCTGCCGTTACCACCGCAGCCACACCCACCCAATGGGCTACACCCCCAATTGGCCACACCCAAACCAATGGGCCACACCTACCTGGCACCTGACGATACATAAGTGGGTTTTGGGTTGCAGTTTGGGCACTCGGTCTCTAAAAGGTTCGCCATCCAGTATTTAGGATACTGGATTCCTTTCTTCCTTTCTGATATTTGCTTGATAATGACAAACACTTTTTTGCAACTGTTCTGCATCTTGGGTTTCATATTAACACCTAAGTAGTAGGATGCAGGAAAATGTGCTACTAAATATAAGTCAGAAGTAGCTTATAGGATTTGAAGCACAGCAGCCCATTATTTTAAAATCTTGACACAATGCCTGGGTTTTAAGGATTTATTTATATGCTGCACATGGCAGAATTTAGCCAAACTTGGCAGACCTCAGAAACTTAAGCAACTAATCTGATGCACAGTCACCAAATCATCCCAATCTAGACTAGAAAATTGAAAGGCATCCCAGAAAAAGGCAACAGCAAAACTTTTGTACTACCGTCAAGAAAATTATGTAGGCATATCTGCATAGCTCATAAGAAGTCAAAGGAACCTTTCTTTTTATATGCTCAAAACTGTACTTACCCTAAGGCTTATGTACAGTATATAAATTATGCACAGGAAAACTATTTGAGGGATAACTGTTAAATCCATTAAAATAGAATTTAAATCATTTGCATAAATTTCCATCATTTGTGTAATATATAATTATGAAAGGAATTCTAAAATAGCCTGATTTTTTAATTCTGACTGGTGTGAGAACTGGTTTGCAGGATTTAGAAAACTATGAGCCTTTATGAGGGAAGATCTTGATGTATCTTGTTTGAAAATTTAAGAAATTATAGAGTTGGGTTCCCACACCTACAAATTTAAGTGTTTTTATAACACTTTGTTTTGAATTGCATAACTTTTTTTGACCTTTGCTTCAAAATACTTTGCAGGAAACACAAAATATTAAGATTTCTTCATGCGTGAATCCTAATGATGATCATATATTAACAAATTTTGAAAAATATATTTTGCTAGATGTCTATTAGATTACTTTTTCAGTTAAAGAATCATAAAAAGAGAGCATTCTATGATTTTACTCTGTGATTCTAGAAGCAGCTGTTGGTTTAGCTATGTCACAGAAAACTGAGAGATAAGTTTAATTTTTGTAAGCTGAAATGACCAGACAGTGATTGCCACTAGGAGCACTTGGCTATAAATTTCTCAATAGTCAATGATGAGGCAAGACATTATCCTTAATCTGCAATTGTCCCTTTGGTAGCCTTGCCATCATCTTTGTCACATACACCTGAATGTGGAATCTTTGGCTTTTGATAAAATGATATTCAGTAAACAACTCTCAAAAGAAAGCTTGTGAAAGTATTCAGTTTCCTCTGTATTTCTTCTCTTCGCTCCTATGTTCCAGAAGGGGTATATGTCATAGAATTCCTATGAACTTTTCATTTCAAATGATATCTTGGACTCACAGAATACAAGCCAAGGCCGTGCAAGGGAAAGACTTGCTACAAAAGCCATACAATGCTTTGTGCTGATAAGTTTCAGCCCAACTTATTTTCAACTGATGAGTAATACAAAGCACAAGCTTTATTTAAAGGAGCAACCTTGATGGTACTACCTCCAAATGATATGGTCCCCCCCCCAAACCCCTTTGGGGAACATTGTCAGATCTTCAAAGGATTATTTCTAACATAGCACTTTCTGGTATTATATAACCCACATGTAAAAAATACCAAAGTTATCAAATTAGAGAAAAAAAGATGTCTTCCCTGGGCTAGTAATTTCAATGTATTGTGGATTCTGAAAATGCTTTACTACGTAAAAATCACATATTGAATTTACTTCATTGGGACTTTTTACAAATAAAATATATATGCAAACCTATGCTAACTTATGTAGTGAACATTACATAACTGCATATGCTGTATGTACAGCTATATTTTCATGAATGTATTTCAGTCCTGCTACACAACAGCTAAGGTGAAGTAACATGCCCAGTCTTTCTAAAACCACATTTTCAAAAACTAATCTTACAGTCTTACATTTCTGAATTTTTGTATTGGTATGTGCATTTGCTCAAGTGAAAAATCTTCACTAAAGGAGCCAAGCCCCCTTTCTAGTAAAATGTACACCCAAAGGGAAATTAGAATTGTTGACTCTTTTTTAATTACAGCAAAAGAGATTGCAGATTGGAGCTAGTAGTATGGAACGGAAGAAAGAGTAGGAAAAACTTTCATCGTCTGACACTGCTGCTGATATAAAACTTCCTCTAGGAATCTGGAATGGAAAACATCATAGTAGCAAGGACATGAGTTGCTGATGCAAAGCCCCTAAAAACTGAAAGGGCAAATGTCTTCTGGAACAATAATGACATATCTATATCTGAAACCTTAAACATATTTACATGAGAGTAAGTATCACTGTATGTTATGGCACTAAATGCCAAGAAAATGTGAACATAAAACATAGTATTTAGCTGTGTGTATTAGTTATGTGAGCAAAACCAGAAGAATTGGCTTCTGTTTGTTTAAATCTACAGCTATCTCAGTGAAAAAGATCCAAAGAAGGTACCTTTTAATAACATCCAGTTTAACTCTACATTGTAGCTATACATTTAGTGTATCCTTAAGCAAATATGGAATAACTTTTGAAGAGAGGAGTGAAAGTGAAGGAATCTGCTTGTATATCTTGTATATTCTTACTAGACATCAACTAAGCCTAAAGATTATCTCAAAAAGAGAAATAGCATTCTCTTCAGTGCAAGCAATTCTTTGTGCAGTGGTTTCAGGTTGGATTATAGCTTTCAGATTCATACAAATCTCATTTTCAGGTTTGCCATTAAAAATGTAGCAAACACATCTATTATTACTTCAGTTGTCCATTCTCTCTTCTGCACATTTCCTCTTGAAGTACTCATTTTTTAAGAGATCTCTTCGGTCTGACTGTGCCTGCAATGTCCAGCACAAGTGGGAAACACAACTGAGTCCCAATCTTTTAATGGCTGGACATTCCTGAGAACCATGCTCATCATTCAGGTTAAAAAAAAAAACAGCAACAGAACTGGGACTAGAATTTTGTGCCCAGCCCTAAGCTCAGTTTTAGCACTGCCCCCCACCCAGGTTGAGTACAAATGACTGGAGAGAGGAATGAAGTTTAACCTATTAAACCAGCCAGGTCTGAGGGGAGAAGATAGAGGCAACATTGGGGGAGTGGGAAACTGAATCACCCAATACTGAAAGTGACCTTTCCTGAAGGCAGCAGGGAAGAGAGCAGTTGCCCAAGGACCACACCATTAATAAATATGTGTAAAAAGATATCAGTGCACCCTTTAAGCAAAGTAAATTCAAGGGGAGGGATACAGGCAGCCACCCAATTGAAGTGGCAGGAACATACTGAGAAGAGAGAAAGAGGCAGGGGCGGGATGCTTTTGTTTGTTCCCCCATGTTGGTGGCCTTCTAAGCCTGTGGTGATGTTGCTGCTAAGCTGGCTGGCAAAAGAGCCACCAGCACCCTCACTCCAGCCCCAGCCTCTTTTCAGCTAGGCTAGCGGGCCAGAGGGATCTGTTTGAGGGAGATCAACACTGAGCGCATGCGTGAGACATCCTTGGATTGCTTGCTGCTCTTGGGATTGAAGTCACAGAGTTGGGCCACTTTCTCCCATTCAGTGCCAGTCGTCTCTTCCTTGGACTCCTTCAGGAAGGCTTCCTCTGAGGCTCTGGAGAAGGCAAGTTAAGACACTGTCAGGCCAGAAAAGAAGTGCAAGAATGTTTTTTGCCTCCAGACAAGGTCTGGATTGGCATAAAACGTTCACTACTGGTTAACTGAACTATGAGGTATCAAACTAACCACATATTCTGCATTCACGCAGTATGCTCAATATAAATTAATTAGATAGGCCTGACTTGTATCACACAAAAGATTAAATTTGGTTGGTTTGTAATTCAATCTGTTAGGTGAATACAGAGATCTGTGACAAAAAGGACTGATTTTCCTTCTTTTAAGGAATATTCTGATTAACATATTTTGCAACACTGACCACCATGTAAAAGGCATAGATTGTGACAGCCATATCATCTGATTCTGGGTGTATAGATATACACTACGAGCTAAATGCAGTTTATTATTAGCTATAGTTTAGCACAAGGATAATCATGATCACAGGGTTGACAAGTACTCTAGGTTTCCTGCTATCTCAACAAGAAAGTAAACAAGAAAAAATAAATAAGAGGGGAAACAATAAATATATGTATGAGTAACAACAGAGATGGCAAAGATATATACCTCATACTTGAAACCGGGGTTAGGAGCAAAAATATGTAAATCCTGAAATTAATTGTGTGGACAAACCTGAGATTAAAATGATTAGTTAAAAGAAGCACTGCAACTTACTGGAAGGACAGTGGGAGCATACAATATAGGATTCAAGAACTGTTTGATATACAGTATTTAAGCAGCATCTCTTAGTTTCTGCAATATGAGGAACATTGCCAGACTAGTATCTGGCACTGCACAAAAGCAAATAGAAAAGTAATTACAATGTAGGCCTATGTCCCCCAGCTCCCAGTGACTCTGAGTAGTTTACAATTGTTAAAACATTTAAAAAAACAGTATCAAAAGACATAGAAACAGCAAAAGAAAGTAAACTAAAGAGGGGAACAGAAAGGAAGGAGGGGATACCCATTGTCCTCTCCAAAGACTTGGTCAAAAAGCCAGGTCTTTAAGGCCCTTCAAAATACTAGTCGGTATTTCTTAATAAGAAATCTGTGGTATAAGAGAATATATCTTTGCCATTTTGCTGCTTCATTTCATAGACTGCTTCATCACTCCTCTACTATATATATATGCTTTTATATTTCCAACTGCTCCATCAATTTATGCCTTACCTTTTTGCTATGCCAGCAAGAAAACTGTTAATTTAGAAGCATAAACACAGAAGAGACCCTTCTCTTTTATCTGTTTAACCAAAAATCATATATATAAATTTATCCTAATTATGGATGATAGAAAGTGGAAAGTAAAAAATATTAGAGCAAGATTGGAGTCAGGAAATTACATAGTTTCAATAACTAATCTCACACCACAGTGAAGTATGAGAAGAAGGAACTGAGGCAATTCTGGGCCTATTTTTGCTCTTAAGAAACATTTAGGCAAAAAGCACACACTGGATCTCCACATGCACGGTCCCATTCAGAAAAATTGCCCCCACCCCCTGAAAAATGAGCAAGAGAGACATACACATAGCCAATCACATCTGCATCTGGCTGCTGGTAAAAGGCTTTGTCAGCAATCCTGTGGCAGGGTCCAGTACAGGAGAAAGGGCAGAGCAGAATGGAAGCAAAGAGTTAAAGAGAGAAACAGATTAGTAATACCCTTAGAAGTGAAGAGGCAGAACTAGATGCTATTTGAAAGCATTAGTAGCTCAGGCAGTTAGAGGTTCATTAATCACATGTATAGGAAAGAAAATGAGAATATTTTATAGAAGTAAACTGCTTGTTATAATGCCCCCACAATGACAGACCTGGTGCAGAGACAGCTAGGTTCTAAGAACTAGAATTAACCCTCCCAAGATTACTTTATTTACATAACCAACAAATGTTTAATTCAGTTAAAATGTACATCCAGTAGGATGCCCTTTCACTTGTTGCAGATCCAGATGTAAACAAGTAAAGAAAGTTTTTTCCTAGCTGTACCTGTTATTGGCCTGGTTCCTCTCCATTTGTTCATTCTGCCTTATATTCCATTCCTCCAAGTCCTTCTTAGCCTTTTCACGCCATTCCTGTTCTAATACTTTAGAAGCAGCATCTAAAACCAAGAAAAACATATCGTGAAAGATATAAAGGAAATTCCTAAGGGTGTTAGCAAGTTAACTAACCTAAATCTAGCCTGGCATGATCCGATGTATAGAACAACATCTCCATCCCCAGCAAAAGAGAGATACCCTGGACAGATATTGTCATAAAGAACTGTAAGGTTCTCAGGCTAAGAGAAAGATATTAGTCTCCATTTATAAGAAGACAGGTTGTTAGAAGCTATGAATGACAAAGGTATAGCCTGACATATACATGAAATTTATAGAACAGAAACCACAAATACTACAATAGTTAGGAAGAAGAAAAAGAATGCTTATTAGCTACATCATCACACTGATGTATTTATTCAGCTGAGCTAGAAGTAAAACTTGACATAATATATCTCATTATTTCTTATTCTACAGTATTATTTTTATTTCTCTTCCCCCTTCCTGATTATACTTACATTCATTCTCTTTGCTCTCCTAATCTGGGAGCCCTCTTCAATTCTGCTGCCCAGTTTACATTTTCTTTTTGTATCACAAACCCTTTTCTAAACAAATCCCAGCAGCATTTTTTGCATTATTTAAGAAAGTTTTTCTGCTGGTTCAATCTCTTCTCCACCATCTTCTCTCTTGCTCTACAAAAATTCTCCTTATACATGCAATTCCCATACGCAATACAATTTTAAAATATAATTTAGAATATAATTTACATGAATATAGTTATATTTGAACTCCAGCTCAACTCCTGAGCAAATGTTTTTATCCCTACCCAGCTCCTGCAGTCTCTTTTTCTGTTCCTCTCGCCATTTGCGAATGCTCTCAGGCTCCTGTGTCAATCTGTCAGCTCTGGCAATGGCTGCATAGGCATCTGTAGGTCCATTGGATTCCTTGAGACAAAAGAAACTGGATGAAATGTTGGTCTCCCCAGACAAGGAATGTTTGGGAAGCAGAACATAGAGGAGTCTACAATCCTGTCAAAAAGTCTTGCATAAGATTATAGGCAAATCCTAATCCTAACAGATTGGGGGTTTGTTTAAGCATAATCCAGTATTTTCCCCCAAAGTTAGTTCAAAGAATCCGATATAGAAAACTCAGAATATGAGGACACTCTGAGGGCTCCCTCATGCAGAAACTAGCACAATTAGCTGCAGTCTTATAAAAGCAGATACTTTTCAAAGTTACACATTTAAACTGATTCATGAAATCTCCATCAGCCATGTACCTGCCTTCTCTTAATCAACTTGCCTTGTCATTCACTGCCAACATGATTTTCATATCTGTGCTTCAGGTGAATTCCTGAAATTCTAAGGGGTAATAGCTGTAAGACAGCAGTTGTGATACAATTCTTATGATGTCACAATCTTTAAAGGGCCAATGTCTTGCTGCAATCTTCTCTGACCAGAACTAACGTGTTGATTTCAGTTGAGTTTTAAAACTGCCATTTGTGTCAAGTGTTGTCATGATAAGAACCATTTTCACAATCTAAGGCTGAAATCACAAGGGAAATGCTAAAGGTGGTCATCTTTATGAAAAGGACAGCAGTAGTAGCAATTAAATCAACTGCAAAATTAAGAGGAACCGCTCAATACAGAATCTGTTTATAGACCATAATTTTGAAAATGCTGGGTCCAGCATCAGGTTCCTGTAGTTATTTCCCTGTGCTGTAGCTTGTTTTTACATAAACAAAATGTTCCTATGAACAAACTTTCCAACTTATCTAGAATCATCCAAAAGGCTAGCTAGTTTTCTTCTGTACCTCTTATTGCACCCTCCCAAATTAAAGAGAATTGAGTATTATACACTGCAGATAGGAATGCTAATTCTGGATCTACTGCTTCAGGTTGGGCTAGATCAGGTTCACCTACAGCTTCAAGTTGGACTAGATAGGTTACAATAATAAATTGTCATCTGGAGTTGCCTTCTCTGGAGGTGAGTGGGAGGCAGATTGCTCAGTCCAAAAAAAGGATCTCTGAGGTATGGGGAAGGTGGTTGTTTAAGAGACAGGAGGAAGAGAAAAAGAAAGGGGCATGTGCACTTAGAAAACTGTTTCTATAATACTGCTACTTATAGGGTTGAACACATGCCAACTCAACCCTGAGTAAGCTAAAGTTTCTATAATTTTGTTTCTTCAGTTGAATCATGCCCAATTCTTGGAGGCTTCCTGGACATGTCCCTGCAGTTTTCTCAGCAAGGTTTTTTAGAAATGACCTACTGTTGCCAATATAATTACATAAATCAAACTATAATTATGTGACTCTAAATCACACCAAGAAGCCAAAAGTTCCAGTAATAGCCAACTGCCTTTCCCACTGATCTCAGGCAGACAAGCGGCTGTCATATGTCCTGCTGTAGAATGGTATTCCGTGAACAGTTATGCCTTTGATCCGCCTTAGTAGCTCTTTTAAATGATTTCCCATACTCATTGCATTACAAGTGCAGGATAATACAGAAAAGCGAGGAAGATAAAGGACTTTTGCTTGAAAAAAAATGAAGTGTATTGTTCAATTCTACTAGCATAACAGGGTTCCTCTACAATGTAAAAAGGCACAAAGTTACTATTTGATAATCATTATCTTGGTATGCAGATTATTTAGTACAGTCAGAGCATTGCCTCAAAGGAGCTATTGTTTTTTTCCAGTATTTACATTATTCCAAGATAGAGGGGGAAAGTAGATAAAAACCACACAGAAAAATGCTTTCTGGGTGAAGGTTGGAATTAATAATATAAGGATATGCCTGCAATTTTCAAGTCAACATTCTTTCATCCAAAAAAAAAAAGGAACAATGCTAGTTTGTTTATATTTGTGAAGTGCTTGATATAACTGAAAGACAGAATTATTGCATTGGAATTTTCAAAGCTAAATTTTGTATCGGATGGAGAATAATGTAGCAGTTCAATTTACTGGAAGTTAGTCCCACAAAATTAAAATGGATTTAGTGCTAAATAAACGTACATATAATTGGACTGATTCATTATTCCCTCAGTACAAACCAAAAGAAAAAGGAACAATGCCTTTTTTGGCTTTTGGCTTTGGTAGAATGTTACTGTCTTTTCCAATCTAGCCTCTTCCAGACCAGTTAGCAAGGGTCATATCTGTTGAAAATTAAGGAAGCAGAGGTCTGACTCACCTAGAAGGCATAAAAAAGCTATCCATGTCAATGCTATCCTTTCTATAATTCCATGTCTATGTTTAATTGGATGTTCAACTTCACAGCAGTCTCTGTCTAAGTCATTCTCTCCTTACAATCATAATTATCTCCCTGCCTTCAAATCTACCGGTTGGTTTTAGAAGAAATATTTATAAGCTCTTACTGTAGATCAACGTTTCTCAACCTTGACCATTTTAAGGCATGTGGACTTCAACTCCCAGAATTCCACAGCCAGCAATGCTGGCTGTGGAATTCTGGGAGTTGAAGTCCACATGCCTTAAAATGGTCAAGGTTGAGAAACACTGCTGTAGATGACTGATTGGAACATGGATAAGCACCATTTTTGTGGCTTTTTTATCAGCCCATAGGAGCACAACCAATAAAAAGGAACTATGGAAATGGTAGTCACCAATATCTAGGGTAAGGGGATGCTTATAGAAGAGAATATCTGTAGCCCAGAGGTGAACTGCAGAGTTCTTGGTGCTCTCTGATCTTGGTTGCTTGCAGACGTTTCATTATCAGACCAGGTAACATAATCAGTGTAAGTAAGTGTGGGGCTGGTTTTCTGTTTATATGCAGTAACATATAAGAGAATTCTATTATGAACAACTTCAGTCAAAAACTGAAGAAAACTTACTAGCATTGCAATGTGCTAGCAAGTTCACACTATTTTTCCCTTTTCTTTGAGTGGCAATCAAAAAAAGCCAAATGCTCCAGAAAAGAATTCTTAAAGAATTATCTCTAAGGTTGGACTACAGCTATTCTTATGTACATTATATCAACTTATGAAAGTTGATATATGATTTAGAGCCCCAGTCAGGTTCAGACTCTCACCTGAAACACATCACCATTCACAGTAGTTCCTCCTGTGTTTTCAAAATTAACTGCAACAAAGGGAAAATATTAAACTATTATTCAATGTTCAAATGTAAGAGAAAACATTCAGTCACCAGTTACTTGCAAAGTTTAACCTGCAAAAGACAGACGAGCATCCGATTTTATTTTGAGAAGTACTTTCCTGTTTGGCTAGATGGGGGAGAAAGCTATTTAACTAAGGAATAGGAACACACAAAACCTGTAAAAGGTGATATGGGCCTCCAATAGAGCTGAGGTCAAAAATCTGGAAGAAAAACAATTTGTTAAAGGAAAAATCTCCTGCAAAGTTAGACTTTTGGTATCTTCAGAGTCACATCCATGTAAGGTTTTTTTGGTAGTAATATAACTGTGGTTTGCCATTGCCTTTTTCTGAGATATTTTCAGATTTTCAAGTCAAGGAAAAGAATGAATATATTTGATTTGTAGTTTATCATGCTACAAAGTATAATGGCCCAATTAGTAATCAGGCTATTGAGTTTAGGATAGAAGAAGGTTGAGTCTCCCCTGCCACATTTACGTCTTCATTTCACTTCTATCCATATCTGTGGTGGTTAAAAAATGATATGAGAGGCAGCAGAGATGCTGCATATGACTTATGCAATAAACCACTTAGCATTGTATAGAAGCATTAGGAATAAATTATTAAATGTTACAGTCATCCATTTCTATGTCTAAAAGCCAGAATGGAAAATTAGTCATATTAGAGATGAATAAATGTATCAGAAATCATAAATACAAACTGTGATTAAAGCATTTTAACTATAATTTCATCTGATATCAGGGTGTGACATCAGGTTTGGCTAACTAAAAATGGTTTAATATTCATCTGCAGTTTGCTCTGGTACTCTGGGGCTACTGATTTGTAAAATTCACCAAATGTACACTGTATATAGGATTATTGTTGTCTATGCATTTAATAGTCCATAGTTTATTTTACAATTGTGTTAAATAAGCAGAAGTGATTTGGTTCAATATAATCCTGCCATAAATCATAATTTATATACTCTAATAGCTGGATTCATGCACTGCATATTCTATTTTGCACTCAACCATTTTCTCACACAGACATTTTTCTGTTGGGATCATAAAATGGTAAAAGGGTAGACAGTGACATTTTATACTGTATAGCTCATTAGAACAACTTACTGCCCTCTAGATATTTTGGATAAAAATGCCAATAATCCATACCTAGGAAACAGCTATGTAGTCTGACATTGAAAAGAATATTAAAAATCTGAAAGTGATCAAGCTCTAGATATGATTAATCTACTCCTGGACTGTGGTGGAAGGAAATATTTATCTTCCCCACCCCCATTCTTTAGTTTTAAAAGCACAGAAATTTATCCTGTCCTGATGTTGGCAAATTATAAGGCTTAACTATTGCCACATGCTATAAAGATTCTTGAGCTTACCTTGAATTTCCAATATTCAAGTGATTTTTTTTTAAAATATGTGACATTTGGTATCTATGAGATAACTTTATTTCTGAAGCTCCATTTTACCAGACTAGGATTATATATCACACTAAACTTTGTTTTAAATGACACTTTAATGGACATACAGTATAATAATTGTTGGGTTTGGATAGAACCGTTTCCCTGAAAGTAAGACCTACCCTGAAAATAAGTTCTAGCTTGATTTTGGGGGGTGGGCCTAATATAAGCTCTACCTTGAAAATAAGCCTTAGTTTTGGAGCGAGGTGTATGCCTCAAAATCATAGGTAACGGGGTGGAGCTGCCCCCCGCACCCACTTACCAGTAGGACCGCCGCAAGCAGGCCTCCCACACCCTGACACTTGTCATGCTAGGTGGCTCATCGCACTGTTCCCACTCCTTGCGGCAGGAGGCCACATGGTGCTTCGGGCCATTGCTGCTAGTCACAGCAGGACGCTATGTGGCTTTTCGGGCCACTGCCCTGGTCACAGCAGGATGCCGTGAGGCATTTCGGCCGTTGCTGTTCCTCGCGGCAGGAGGCTGCACAGTGCTTTGGGCCATTTGCAGGAGGCCTCATGGTGCTTCAGACGGTGCTGCCAGTCACAACAGGATGCCACGCGGCGCTTCAGGCCGTTGTTGCTCCTTGTAGCCGGAGGCCGTATAGTACTTCAGGCCACTGCCGCCGGTTGCAGTAGAAGCCTGCACAGTGCTTTGGGCAGTTGCCGCCAGTCACAGCAGAATGCTGCATGGCGTTCCAGGCCATTGCCACCGAAGTACCATGCAGCCTCCTGCAAATGGCCCGAAGCGCCACATGGCATCCTGCCGCGACCAGCAGCAATGGGCTGAAGCACCATGTGGCCTCCTGCAAATGGCCCAAAGCGCTGTGCAGCGCCTTGCCATGATTGGCAATGACCCAAAGCTCCGTGAAGCATCCTGCCATGAGCAGTGGCAATGGGCCCGAAGCACCATGCGGCCTCCTGCAAACGGCCCAAAGCGCCACGCAGTGTCCTGCCGTGACCGGCAGCACCAGTATGAAGCACCATACGCCATCCTGCCCTGACCCAAGGCACCGGCACAATGTGCCATGTGGCATATGGCCATAAGTGGCGGCAAACGGCCACTGAAGAAGTCAAACAGCGGCACAACAGGTGTCGGAGCATGGGAGGCCTCGCTGCGGCGGTCCTAAGGTAAGACATCCTGTGAAAATAAGACCTAGTGCCTCTTTTTGAGGCAAAAAAAATATAAGACCGGGTCTTATTTTGGGGGAAACACGGAATTTAACCCATAAATCATAGGTTATAAAGCACATAGGTCATGCAAAAAGCCATAAAACCACACTATTGCTTATTTATCTTTTACTATGGGCAACTGAAACAGAAATAAGTCATGCATCCTGACTTTTTTTTTTAAAAAGTTGGTTTGTTTGTTTATGTGAATTTAACAGCTACTCAACTCAAATGGATACTCAACTCAACTCAAATGGATTCCAGCATCCTGGAACACTTTTTTAGTCTTTTCTCACTTTACCTTATTGATTAAAAAAAGCTAGTTTGGTCTAGTAATTAAGTAATTAGGGTAGAAACTAGGAAACTGAGTTCTGATCCAGCCCTAGGCATGAAAGCTGGCTGGGTGACTTTGAGCCAGTCATTCTCTCTCAGTTCATGATGTCGGGCTTGGGCAGCAAGCCAGTTGGACAATTTCTGTCACAATTAATGGGTCAACACTTGACTGATCTGAAAAAAAGCGGATCGTGAACTTCCAGGAAAAACACTTAGAAATAAAAACTGTCATAGATAAAAATATAGATTTATGTACATATGGCCATAATATTGGACTCAGTAATAATAATCAATCCAGAGGAGAAGTTACTGAATATGGCCTGGATATAGCCATCAGATATGGGCTTCAAAAATATCTGACTGACCACTAGACAGCAAAGAGATAAAACAATTTCTTACATCCAGCAGCTATCTGGATATTGGCAGACTCAGTCTAATACAGTAGCCCTAGGTCTGTATGGTGGCAAGAAATCCTTAGCAACAGTTTAAACAGTTCCTGGGATTCTGGGCTCCTCTCCTGCATCTGTTTGAAAGGACCAGATAAAGTATGAAAAGAGAAGCTGTGACTAAAGAGTTTTTTTGTCTTGTATAGGATGAAACAAGTTGTATCCTAGCAGTAAGTAGCAAATATAACAATTTACAAGAAAAAAGCTATATACCACCTCCACTTAGTGGGGAAGTCCAAAGTCTCTAACATGAGACCCAGACAAAACTATATGCTCTCCACTCTGAAAATGTAAATGAACAAGAAAAAAATAAAGGTGGATCTCTATAGCATCAATACAGCTTAAATTTCTTGCTGGAGAACCAGATAAGTTTCATGACAGCTACCTTAGGGAGAAGCAAGAACAGACCTGTTTACTTGCTCTGAATCTGACTTTCAGCAGCAGTAGGACATACAGAAATTAACCAGTACAGCTTTGTTTTGACAATGCATAGAAAAGACTGCCTGCTAAACTTTCAGGTGTCCCAACTAGTAGGAAAGTATGACAGTGTAAAAACACAGAGCTTTAGATGAATTCAGCTATAAATGAAAAATAGTATTTGAGGGTTGCAAAACACCTTTCTGTCACTTTCTTTCCCCTGATATCACCCACATTTTGAATATTAGGCTGCACCCAGATCTGGTCTGGCAACCTTTGTGAGGCCTCCTCCCAAAGCTAAACAAGAACGTCAGTATGCCTACTTCTAATTGTCACCTCTTCTTTCGGCAGCCTCTTTTTTCCCAGCCCAGTGCTTGGGCCATCTGTTCTTGTCTTAGCCAAAGAATGCATTACTTACAAAAACAGGGCTCCTGATGGATCTTGCAGTGTTCTCGGTGGCTCTTGCAAGGCCTACATTACAGACTAGGCTTGTTTCTCTTTCCTTCTGTGGTTATCTAAGGCTGCGCTGAAGAGTCAAAGGTGTGTTTGCCTCTTCTGAGAAACCCAACCCATAGCTGGTCCCTGTCGCAGAGCTGGCTCCAAAGAGGGAGGGTGAAAAATCAGCTAGTTCCACAGAGCAGAGATTCAGAGTAATCTCATATGTATTTTGTTTGTGCTAAGCCATAGTTAGTTCAAACAGTTCACAGAAGAGCCCTAATTGCTTTTACATGAAGCCAACACAAAATCAGGCAACTGGATAGCTTAATATAAAGGCATAAACCCAGTTGCGATTTATGGTGCAATCCTAGAAGAGTCACTATTGTGGAGCCTCAAAACTTTACATCCTGCCTTTAAATTAGGAGCTCAGGATAGTGCATGCTGTGTCCCTTCCTCTCATTTCTTCTCACAACAACTCTCTGAGGTTGAGTGAGCTGAGGGGGAGTATGACTGGTCCTAAGTCCCAGCAACAACATCCTGTGGCTGAGGCTTCTTTTCACAACTTAGGAACAAAAGTGGCCTTCTAGAAAGACTGGCAAGAATGCACCAGTGGCAACCTGTTTGGAAAGATGTATTTAAGAGTACAATTCCCATCACCACTGGACTTGGTGGCTTAGATGAGGCCTCAGCACAAGCGACTCTTCAGTTTTTGCTGGCTTTCTCTGGCAAGCTGAGGCTAGGCAGCCACAGAAATGGCTGATGACTGGCTGTGCGCCCTTCAGGAAAGATCCCATTTTCCCGACATGCTGCCCCGTCGGTCCCGCGGCGCCGTGCCTGGGCAGGCCACGTGCGCGTCCCCTTCGTGTAGGAGCCGCCAGCCCGTCCGCCCGCCTCCCCTTCGCCCCGCGCGCTCACTCCGAGGCTCCCCGGCGGCCTCCTGGCTGCCCCTCGCGGCTCCTTCGGCGCAGCTGATGCCCTCGTCGTTCTCGATCCCCGCAATCTCGTTCTCCTGCTGCGCCAGGAAGGCAGCAGCCGGGTCCTCTTCGGCGGCCTCGGCTGCTCCGCTTTCCGAGGAGGAGAAGAAGCCGAAGTCATCCGCCATGACGGCCGTTTCCCGCAGCTCTCAAAGCCCGCCTTCCTCCGCAATGGGCACGTTGAGCAGCGCCCGCAACCTCGGCGGCCGAGAAACGCTCCGGGAGCCAGCCAGCCGAGCAGTAGGCGACCAGGAACCGCCGGCTCAGCTGTCACTGCAGCGCCTGCGGGAGGAGACTGACGCGGCGAAAGGAGGTGACCTCACCCGCCAAGCTGCTAGCGCATTCTGGAGCCATTAGAGGGAAGCAGCGGCCGCCCTGGATTTCGTTCAGCATCAGCTTTCAATTTCCGCTCCCTGGAACCGTGGCGTGGGAGGATGAACGTCCATCCTATTGTTGGGAATATTGTCGCATCCCAAAATTCAACAGCATCGTGAGAGTCTCCGAAGAGGTGCTTTCTACAAAGCAAGGGCTCTGTTGCTGCTTTGGTGATGCCAAGCCAGCAAATAAAGTAGCAACGTACAATCTTTTTAAAGTCAGCTGCTTGAAAAGTTCTACTTGCTTGCGTGCCTGCTTTCCTTGTCTCTTCCCCCCCCCCCGCATCTAAACATATGCAGCGATGACCTTTTTTAAAAAAAAAAATGTTGCCATAATGCTGCCTTCATTGGCCCCTAACCTACAAATAAGCCAGTTTAAGTCTTAGCTGTATTACTGTATATTAAAATAACGTTTTCCCCCTTAGCTGATGGCACCATTGATCTAGCCAAATCAGGTGAACTATGAGTGGGAGGGTGGGATCAAAGCAGTATTTAGTGATCAAGCACTGTCTCACTTGGCCCTGATCAGCTCTCTCTAGAGCAGGGCTTTTCAACCTTTTCACCCATTGTACCACTTTTAGGATATGGCAATATCTGAGTACCACCCGTCGCCTAGCAAGGTATCAAAAACTTGATGACCAAAAAAAAAAAAGGAAAAAAAGTGATAAAGTACAGGTAGTCCTCAACTTACAACAGTTCGCTTAGTGACTGTTCAAAGTTACAATGGCATTGAAAAAAGTGCCCCCAAGCCACAGCTGAGCAAGACACCTGCCTGCCCACCTGGCGGCGCTCTTCTTCCTGTCCGAGGTTTTCATTGTGAGCATTTCTGTTGAGGATTGGCAGCGGGGGTGGGGGGTTGTTTGGTTTTTATTCCCCCCATCTGCTGGGTGGTTGCAGCAGGTTTTGGTCACTTCACATGACCCTGGGACACTGTGACCGTCATAAAGATGAATCAGTTGCCAAGCATCTGAATGTAAATCACAAGACCCTGGAGATACTGCAACATTCCAGTTGATCGGCACTTCTGGGCTCAGCAGAAGCACCAGGATCAGCGCCGAGCTCCAGCTGGAGACTGGCGCTGATCCTGGCACTTCTGCTGAGCCCTGACAGCCCTGCAGCTCCAGCCATCTCTCACTCAGGCTTGTGTGGTGCTGCCACCGGTTCAGCTCATTCCCCTCCCCCACTACCACTTTTTTAGGATGGTCGCGTACCACCTGCCAGGTGCCAATGTACCACAGGTAGTACCCGTACCACTGGTTGAAAAGCCCTGCTCTAGAGAGCTGGCCAGTCATCTGTCAGAATTGTGCAACAGTGTTAGATTGCAGTGACTGTTTTAACACTATGCTCCTTGTCAATTTAGTGCAAGGCTGCAACAGTGAAATAGAGACTATCTCATCCCATCTCATCACCTCTGGATCAGCATCCACAAGAATCCAGAAGATGACATTTGTGGTCTTTAGAAAGCAAAGGAAAGATACAGAAATTAAAAATAAAGAGACTGCTTATGATTGAACTCTCTTTGTGATTCCAATTTATTATTTTAAAAAATTATATTCAGCTTGGGATATCACAGCTATTGTTATGTCCCGAGCCTTGCAAACGGCTCGGGGCGTTTGCAGGCGGTCCCGGGCAGGTGCAAAGCTGCCCGGGACCAGACAGGCTGTCGCCAGCGCCGTGCGCATGCGCGGGTGCTGGCGCGGGAAAAGTATCGCATTGACCCGGGAAATGCCTATATAAGAAGCTGGGAGGTTTTGGGAGCTGCTGAAGCCATCTACTTGTGAGCTGAACACAGAATAAAGAAAACTGAGAACTACAACTGCTTCTCGTGTCTTGCTTTTCGCCAAGGACTCAACACTGGCGACGAGGATGGGATGCCTTACATCACCTGGAAAGGAAGAAGTGTAAGCTTACCCAAGTGAGTCCTGAGCGGCGGAACGGCGTTGACTCGGCAGCTACTCGCCAATCCAGTGCGCATTCAGGGGTAGGCTGGCTGATAGACCCGTCTCCTGAAGATGGCAAAAGTTGGAAGGCTTTCGGAGTTCAACGTCTCACATCCAGAGCGGTGGGAGTCCTACGTAGCCAGGGTGGAGAACTACTTCAAGGCAAACCAAGTGAGGGAAGAGAGCTTGAAGGCTGCCACCCTGCTTTGTGTTTGCGGTCAAGACGCCTTCGAAATCGCAGAAAACCTTGCAGCACCTGTTCCAGTAGAGTCTGTTAGCTACGCAGATCTAAAAAAGCTACTGAAGGAGCACTTCCAGCCTAAGATGTCCATCATCGCATGGCGCCACACCTTCGAGCAGAGGGATCAACGATCCGGAGAGTCGGCCAAAGAATACATCGCCGCATTGAGGAAGGCCGCCAAGCACTGCGAGTTCAAGGACCTCGAAGAACGACTGAGGGACCGATTCGTGTGCGGCTTAAGGCATCGAGATCTACAACAGAGGCTTTTCGCCAAAGAAGAACTGTCCTTCCAAGATGCCTTAAGAGAGGTCACCGCAGAAGAAGCAGCAGGCGGCGCTGTCAAGAACATGCGGCCGATCAGAAACAGTCCAGAAGTTGCATCCGTGCACCAGGAAGACGTCCAAGGAAACTCCGAGGAGGATCCGGACGAGGAAGTCGACCGTCTCCACCCCACGAAGGAAGGAAATCAGAAGGGAAGCTCTTCAGCTCCACTCAAGTGCATCGGCTGTGGAGGTCGCCACAGGAGAACCGACTGCAAGTTCCGCTCCGCTACCTGCCGGGCATGCGACAAACAAGGACACATTGCAGCTGTGTGTCTGGGCCGACGAAAGGTACAACCTCAGGAAGAACTGCGCCTGAAAGGTACCAGGGTCCCCAGCCAGAATAGGGTAGGGTTTTGCGCTTCGCGAAGAAGCATCCTCAGGACAGGCACACACAAGCCCATTAAGAAAAAGCTGTCACTCAAGGTGAAGCTACAAGGGGTTCCATTAACTATGGAACTAGACACAGGGTCTGCCCTTTCAATCATCTCCTTGCATACATTTAGGAAGATTTGTTCCGGTAGTGGAACTCAGGCCAAGTTAAGGCCTTCTGACATTGTGTTAACAGATTTTCAAAATTCAAGAGTGTGTGTTAAGGGGGAGGCCACCCTTAACGTGCAATACAAGAGTTTTGAAGGTCCACTAGACTTATTAGTAGTAGGGGGTGAACGAACGAGTCTCATAGGACTCGATTGGTTTGAGGCCCTGGGGATACACGTCACAGGACTCAACAGCTTACAAACACTCGACCTACAGGAAGTCTGCAAAGAATTTGCAGATGTTTTCAGCCCCCAGCTGGGCACATTCAAAGGACCCCCTGTGTCCTTAAAGCTAGACCCCACTGTCACTCCCATTAGAATTAAAGCAAGAAGGGTCCCTTTTGCTTTAAAGAGTAAAATTGACACTGAGTTAGACAAACTGATCCAACAGGGAATCCTAGAACCTGTTGATTCCAGTCCTTGGGAGACCCCCATTGTCACGCCTCTAAAGGCAAATGGGGACATTCGCATTTGTGCTGATTACAAATGCACACTCAATAAGGCATTGCAGCAACATGCCTATCCTGTTCCTGTGGTCAGTCACATCCTGGCCTCTCTCAAGGGGGGGCGTGTTTTTGCAAAGCTTGACCTAGCTCAAGCATATCAACAGCTGCCTGTTGATGATGATGCTGCCATAGCTCAGACCATTGTGACCCACAGGGGAGCCTTTAAGGTAAAAAGGCTACAGTTTGGAGTGAATGTCGCTCCTGGGATTTTCCAAAGCGTTATGGAAAACACACTACGAGGTATACCAGGGGTCTGCCCCTACTTTGATGATGTCTTGATTGCAGGAGACTCCACACACATTCTAGCTGAAAGGCTAAGGGCTGTTCTGTTAAGATTCAGGAAAACAGGCCTCAAGCTCAAAAAAGACAAATGCAAGATTGGGGTGCCTTCTACTGAATTTCTGGGGTTCAAAATTGATGCTGCTGGGATTCACCCTGCTGAATCCAAACTAACTGCTATTTTAGAAGCACCTAGGCCAAAGTCTAAGGCCGAACTTCAGGCCTTCCTGGGCCTCCTGAATTTCTACAATTCCTTCCTTCCACATAAAGCCAGTGTAGCTGAGCCTCTTCACAGGCTACTAGACAAGCAAGCAGTGTGGCACTGGTCACAAACACATGAGGCTTGTTTTAACAAAGTCAAGGCCTTGCTCACTTCTAACAGTGTACTTGCACATTTCAACGAGTCCCTTCCTGTGTGCATCGCTTGTGATGCGTCCCCTTACGGGGTAGGAGCTGTCCTGAGCCACCTCAGGTCTCCTGTTGCATATTACTCCAGAACATTGTCTTCTGCTGAGCGCAACTACGCTCAGATAGACAGGGAGGCTCTGGCTGTTGTTGCTGGAATTAAAAAATTCCATGATTTTCTATATGGCAGGCATTTCACGGTCTTCACTGACCATAAGCCTCTGCTGGGACTGTTTACCACACGTAAGCAGACTCCCCAAATCATTTCCCCTAGAATGCTTAGGTGGTCTATTTTTTTGTCTGCATATGATTTTTCTTACTCCACAAGCCTGGGAAAGAAATGGGCCATGCTGATGGCCTCAGTAGATTGCCTCTGCCAGTAGTAGAAGCTGACCCTGCGCCAGCTGTCAACATTCTATCAATCCAAGCCTTGCCCGAGCTCCCTCTTAGTGCCAGGGATGTTGCCGCTGAAACAGGTACAGATCACACACTTTCACGTGTCCGTTCCTGGGTTTTGTCTGGTTGGCCTGAGCACTGCCCTAGTCCTGAGTTTCAGAGTTTCTGGTCCAAAAGGAACGAGCTGTCCCTTTCTCAGGGTTGTCTGCTTTGGGGAAACAGAGTTGTCATTCCCACCTCAATGAGGACTAGGGTCTTAGAATCCCTCCACGAGGGTCATCCTGGCATTGTTCGTATGAAGGCTCTTGCGCGCAGCCACTTGTGGTGGCCTGGTTTAGATAAAGATATTGAGGCTAAGGTGCATGCATGCCACCTGTGCCAACGATCTCGCCCAGAGATGCCCCAAGCTCCCGTGCATAGATGGGAGGAAACACAGTCCCCATGGTCTAGGGTGCACATTGACTACGCTGGGCCCTTTCAGGGCCAGTTCTTCTTGGTCCTTGTTGACAGCCATTCAAAATGGCTTGAGGTTGTACCTGTCTCATCCACCACTACTGCAAAGACTATTCAGGTATTGAGGGGGATTTTTGCTGCACACGGGCTTCCAGATGTCATTGTGTCTGACAACGGCCCTCAATTCACTTCCTCCGAATTCCAAGCTTTCTTACAGGCTAACATGATTCGTCATGCCACGTCTGCACCCTTCCACCCGTCCACCAACGGTATGGCTGAATGTATGGTGCGCATCACAAAGGACGCCTTGAAAAGACTCACCTACGGGGACTGGCATCACAGGTTGGCTGACTTTCTCCTTTCTTATCGCACCACACCGTCCACTTCTACAGGGAGAAGCCCAGCTGAACTTCGTTGGGGGCGTCAACTTACTACTAAACTTGACCGGTTGCATCCGGACAGACTGCCTTCATCTACCTCACATCCTAGGGCACCTAGACAACTACTTGTGGGTGCCCCGGTTTGGACTCGCAATTACGGGCCTGGTCATACATGGGTCCCCGCTTCTATTTCCAGGGTCACAGGTCCTCTATCCTACGAGGTAGCCCTGGACAACGGTCGTGTCCTGCGTCGGCACATCGACCAACTCCGCCCTAGGCAGGACCTTTCAGATGAGACTCCTGGGTCTTTTCCAGGGGGGGAGGGGGACCCTTTGGAGCAAAGGGAAGGGCACGAGTTGCTGCCCATCTCCACTGATGGAGCCACTGACGGCCCATTTCAAGCTTCCGCAAGTGCTCCGAAAAGGAATTCATGGAGCTTACCCACACAACAGGCACTCACGCCTACTCCAGCCAGGGAGTCACCCTGGGGGCATACTCACTTCCACACACATCACACAACACTCCAGTCACGGAGGATACCCGGGAGCATCCCAACAAATCATTCCCCTCAAGAGAGCTGGCACACAATCCCAGAGTTGGCCTGACCTTACCCCTAATCCTACAGGGGGTCAAACTTACAGGGAGGTGGTCGAGGAACCAAGTCCCGACCGCAACACCTCTAGCCCAAATCAGGGAGTAACTGAGTTTTGGGAAGGTACAGAGACCCACACGAGCCCGGACACAGAACGGGGCTTAGGGATTGGACAGCCTCCTGACAGGTCTTGGACGGACCTAGGAGGTTCTATAGAGACGCCCAGCAGTGGCTATCACTTCAAGGGGCCCGAGGGCCTACAGCTAGGCAGGTCAACCAGGTCACAAAGTGACAGAAGCCCTGGCCTGACGAGCCCGGTGGGCGAGCAAGCAGGCCAGGCATTGGGGCAAAGTCCTTGGAAGGCACCAAGGCATGATAAGGGGAACAGGCTCTTGTCACCCCTCAGTCAGGGAACACCTGTCAGAAACCCAGAGCTGAGAAGGTCACAGAGAGCAAGGAAGTCTCCTAAATACTTAGAGGATTACATAACATTGCTGGCTAAACAAAAGCCAGGTAACGATAGGAGCACTGAGAAGCAGAACACTGCATAAAATAATGATTATATGTTGGTAGTAGTTTTAGCCCGGGGGAAAGGGGTGTTATGTCCCGAGCCTTGCAAACGGCTCGGGGCGTTTGCAGGCGGTCCCAGGCAGGTGCAAAGCTGCCCGGGACCAGACAGGCTGTCGCCAGCGCCGTGCGCATGCGCGGGTGCTGGCGCGGGAAAAGTATCGCATTGACCCAGGAAATGCCTATATAAGAAGCTAGGAGGTTTTGGGAGCTGCTGAAGCCATCTACTTGTGAGCTGAACACAGAATAAAGAAAACTGAGAACTACAACTGCTTCTGGTGTCTACTTTTCGCCAAGGACTCAACAGCTATGGCACAGGGAAATGACAAGGTGCTGCAGCCAAAGGTGCCCCAATCCTGCTATAGTGCCATGATTGGTGGATGTTTTTCCCAATCAAGTAGATATGTGCAAAAGATGTAGGGGACAGCAGAGCTGGCAGAATCAACTTTATCAGGAACTACACATGAAAAATCAGGACAAACCATTCTGTGAGTCAGTGTTGTTGACTCGAGTTGAGATATGATCAGGATCACCAATGTGAACAAGATCTTTCATGCTAGTATATGCTGAAGGATGGTTGGCTATTATTTCCAACAGAGAGGAAAGGCTAAGAATAAGAATAAATATGCCAGTTTATAAAAGTACTGTACATTCTCACAGATAAACCAAAAATTTAACTGCCAAAATACTCCTTCAAAATTGGGTTGGGCTTATCCACGAATATATAAGTAATACTTTTAAAAATATCCATCTTTCCCATGTATGCTCAGATATAAGCCCATCCATGGATAAGCAGGGATTTTTAACCAAAATTGCAGGTCCATAAGTGGTGCATTTTTCATGGTATTTTGGTTAAAAAATAGAGGGTCAGCTTATTCACTGATGGACTTTTATGCAAGTATGTATGATACGAGCACACAATATACTAAACCATGCTTTGCAAACTTTAAGCTATTAAACCATGCTTTATAAACCATATTAATTGGATTCATACAGTACATTATCCCAGAATAGTGTGTGCAAACTATTCTTAGTTTACTAATTAATCATAATTGCCTTGGTTTCTGCATTGCATTAAGCTACAAACAAGCTTTTTATGACTGAATATGGTCTCAATGAATACACTATTTAATGAGTCTGTTCTCACATTGCTGAAACATATCTATGATTCTACAGAGAATTATCTTGCATACCTGATATAGTGGAGTTTTGTTTATGAAAGCTTATGCCTCAATATATTTCTTAGATACTTCTATATTTCAACGGATTATGCAATATATCCTGCTAATAATTTGAATTTTATGAAAAATGTTGTCCAACATAGCTGAACAAAGCTGCAATTCAGCAAATGGAGCCTTAACCTTAACTTAGTATCCATATTCAGGGAAATGTGAAACACAGATTAATTATCTCTAGTTAAAAACTCCTGTAGTATTTATTACCTTTGTAATTTTGTATGGACTTAGTCTCACAGAAATTCTATGCAATTGAAGTAAGTAGGCATCAGATTGCAGCTTTAAAACACATCAATAGATAATGGGGATTCTATATGTTTAATTATTACTTTTCTAAAAAGTCACACAGTTTCAATTTGAGCGATAGGTTTTTGTGTGTGTGTGTGTGTGTTTTTTTTTAGTAATATGCTAGCTAGGCCATATTGCCAATATCGTCATTCATTCATTTGTTCCTAAAGGTGAAATATGGGATCGAGCCAAAAGCCCTTAACTCTTTCTCAGGGAAAGTAAAACTGTCAACTCAGCCATAAAACATTTAGAAGGTCATGGAATGCTGATAAGCTGGGAAAAGATACTGAGAGGCCAGCAGAGTTCTGGGAAAGCAAAAGCAAAGTGACTCCCTAGAAAGGAACTATGTTTGTGAAATATTATCTATTTGTTCTTTCAAAACTTCAGTCTTTGTAGTCCTGCCTCATTATACGTATGGCCTCACCGATCTTCACTAGGTGCATTGCATACTATATGCAATCAAATGATTGTGCTACCAAAATCACATGTCTACTGTAATTTGAAAAAAATACACGAAGAGGGATTATACAGTAAATCCTCCCTTCTTTATGACTGTCTTTGCCTCCAGCACTTACTATAAACCAATCTGTATTTCAATGCAGTTATATCCTGGTCTCTGGTTCAAACATAAACCTAAGAAAATTCTTCTATACCTTTCTAACACTTGTTTCCACATGTTTTGCTGTGAGAATTTACTGTATAACTTGAAAGGATCATGGATAAGAGACATTGTCTCTCTCCTTTCTTTGGTTTCTATTCCATATACAGCTATTATTAAAAGGGACAAAGTGCTATCACAAGTCCCCTAATCTTCTATAATTCCCACCTATCTTGCCTAGAAATCACACTGCTCCCTTAAAAGCAGGGTATGGGAAGGAACATTCATGCACTGCCTTCTGATTCATCCCTCCAAAAGTCCCTTTTCCAGTTCTCTCCTTCCTTAACAGGATAAAGCAGCTTAGATGAAGATGTTTAAGTGACACAGTAAACATCTAGTTTATTCAGCCAGATGTTCTAGGTTTGCATAAGGCACTGAACCAAATCATATTGGATGAGTTCAACCAATGCACTGTACAGTAGCAACCAGTCAGATGCATATTGAAGATCCATCCCCAGCAAAGGAAGAGCAAAAGAAGCAGTTTTGTAAGATATTGGGTCTCTTCTCTGGTTTTGCCTTCAGATTCAGATTGCCTGTGCTGAATTCTTCTCCCCTATTATTGCTATTCAGTAAGTCTCTTTGAAATAAACCAATCATTGAACATTCAATTTATGGTTGTTCCCAAATGCAAATAAGCACCCTTGCAAATATTGTATGTAAAAGAAGAACAAAGTGTCACACTTAATTCTTATTGAAGATAAGAGGAAGGGGAGGGATACATGACAACTTATCTTTCTTTCATTTGGAAATGATCCTATCCAGGTGATTCATCTTCCTTCCCTTACAATAGATGGCTGGTGTCTGATTAATACTGTATAACATGCCTTTTCAGTGGAGAAACCAGAACAGTTCAGACTTCGTTTAGTATATTTTTCTTATACGCTTTTATTGATGTTGCTTAATAGGCACTGCACTCAAATTTTAATATTCTAATACCATTTCCTTCTAACTTGAATAGTGAAATTGTTTCTGGATACTGTTTCAGCTGCAGGCTAAATCTTCATGCTCTAGAGGCCAGTAAAGTAAAAACCCTCTCCTGGAAACTGAAGCACAAAGTTTGGTTTTAGTGTCTTGTAGCGCGCGCGTTCCTATGCAGATCTATTCCCAGTGATTTCCTAGCGCTTTTTAATAGGATTATAACGACGATCACCTGAAATTATATTGTCAGCGGACAAGTCATGTAGGCAAACCGTCCATTTGCTGTTGGATTCCAATTCCCATCATTCCTAGACAGAGCGGTAGCTATTCAAAAGAAAGCATATTTCAGAACGCAGTGTTTCTCAACCTTGACAATTTTAAGGCATGTGGACTTCAACTCCCAGAATTCCACAGCCAGCATTGCTGGCTGTGGAATTCTGGGAATTGAAGTCCACATGCCTTAAAATTGTCAAGGTTGAGAAACACTGCTTCAGAGTGTCCAACAAAAATGTAACTAAACTGAGTACCGCCTCAGCACAGGAATACAGGCATGCATGTCTTACGCTCCATTCATTCGCATAAAACCACGTGCCACTCTAGATTCTCAAGAGGATGAGATGCTGCTCATAAATAAAACCGGAAGCTGTGGGGGACGCTCGCAAATATGATCTATCGGTGTGATCATAGACTTGCAATCTCGGAATCGTTTTATAGTTTGGCGTTTTGTCTCGAATCTAAGCTAGCCTTAATTCCACTTCTAATCTAAGTGTTAATTATGGGTTACACGTCGAGACGTCATTGGTAACTCTACCCGCTAAAGCTCCCCAGCTGGTTATATGCTGAAAACTGTGTATTCAACCAAATTAAGACGAATGAAAAGATTATTTCCTTTGATTTCACAGGAAATATACTACTAACTAATCATTATTAAAATAAAATTCGGGATATCTTCTCTTTTTGCCATCAAGCAACAAGGTCTCCGTTTCTCACACATAGAATTGTAATAAGATTCCTAAAGCTGAAGCTTGACATCACTCCACAACGGTACCTCGGCGCTGACGAGGGGGGGGGGGAAGGGTAGCTCTAATCTCTATGGTGACACTTACAGGTAGAGCGTAAACGGAAGGTTTGAATTGCACGTCATATCCGTAGAGTGACGCAGCTGCGGGTCAGAGGCGGCGGCAAAATGGCGGCATCGGACGGGCGGGAGTTGTCGGCGGAGCAAACTGAGAAGCTCCTTCAATTCCAGGTGCTGGCCCGGGGCAAGGCGGGTGGGTGGGGCTGGGTGAATGGAAGTAAGCCGACGACCCTTGCTAGAGCCTCGTCTAATTTGTCAGTCGGGGTTTTCTAGCGTGCAGGGAAAAGCGGGAGCAACTTGGCCATTCGCTGCTGCTGGCCGTGGGATGGCAGCGGGACCATATGCGGTGGGGACGGCTGTACGGGATGTTAGTGCTTGGAAAAAGGCAGTTTTTCTCCGCGGACTTAGAAGAGCACGGTGAAGGCTTCTGCCTGTGATACCGGAGGCTCTGCGTAAAACGAATGGCTTCTTTTTTTCAAAGGAAATTACGGTGGGGGGGGGAATCTGTAATGCAAAGTCTGAGTTTACTTGAAATCTACTTATTTATACGTTGCCTTCGAAATTCATTAATAGCACCCATCGCACGGTAGGCTGATTAAAGACAACAGGAAATGAATCAGTACGCTGATATGTTGGGAGAAAGCTCCAGTCCATTCCAGGCTGGTTGACCGGACACCCTTAATGATAAGTTGACATGGAGCCCATTATTATGAATATTTACTTTAGAATAAGCTGTTAAATGGATTCCTTTAGAATAAGCTGTTAAATATTTCCTAACCAAATGTACAAATGCATAGCATTTATTCCTATATTCTATCTTGTTCTAGGACACTGAGTTATACAGTACACAGAAATCATTGTAGTGTAATTAAAGATAATAAGATTTTTATGTTTACTACACTATAAGCATATTGGGGAGGATATCACCCTGAACAGTTTTGGCAACAACTTGTAGAAAAGTTGGCAACCCTTGAGAATTCCTAATTAGTTTTAATTGATGGCATATATCTCTTAGATACATAAGCTTAAAAACTATAGATCATTCCTATAAAGTCACACTTTTAAAATTCAGAGTATGGCATTGTTACATGCATTACAATTTATGACTGCCTTATATTTAGTTTTTATGATAAATTTGGGAAGACCTATTAAATCAGGTCTGCCTCTGCCTCCTTCAGTTTCTTTTGGCTTTTCATAGCAGTTTCCAACATAACTACAGTGAGAACAGGTTTTTTTTTCCCTGCATATGCAACTTTTGTTCTGTTAATCTTGGTTTATGAAAAAGAAACAAATATAACATGGAATATTTATAGTTGAAATATTAAAAAAAATGATAGGACTTTAAAAATCCACCCACCATTGTGAGGGATTTGGATAGGTTTTGTGGGACAGTGTTTATTCTAAGCCCTACCATCTCAATTGCCTTGAAAATACTTCCACATTGGCCCATAAAAGAAGCTGAGAGTTACCTATCTCTTGTTATTTGATAATATCACTGATTATATAGATATTCAATTTCAACCCCAGCTATTCCTTTCCTAACATTTTCAAGTATTAGGCCTATTGCATTATTTATAATTCAAAGGTCTGTGTATTGTTTTGTAACCAGTAATTACAAACAAAGTTATGCATTGTAATTATTTTAATAGATGTGTTGTCCTAAATTGGATTTTGGGCATTAAGGTGTCTGGTCTTCTTTCGTTATCAATTTCTATTACAGTTTAATGTTGAACAGAACAGAAAATACGTTTTGCATAATTCTGTACATTAGCCTTTCCAAATTTGTCAGTTGAGGCTGTAGTTCTGAGAACACCTAGCCCAGTGTTTTTCAACCTTGACAATTTTAAGGCATGTGGAATTCTGGGAGTTGAAGTCCACATGCCTTAATATTGTCAAGATTGAGAAACACTGATCTAGCCAGTGTTTTTGGAAGTAGCAGATACAGTACATCTGGATAGTGAAAGATTGAGGAAAGCTAAATACTTATGTTCAGATTTTGATTCAGTTATATCAAACAGAGGCTACACAATCACTGCTATAAATCATACTTAATACTGGTAATGTTCCAAAATGATAGAATTGGGTCGTCCCTATGCATTTTAGGTAGCCATAATTTTATTTGCTACTGTTAACACTATCCTGATTGCTTAAAGTGCTGCAGGCAGAATTGATAAAATCATGCATGCTAGGTTCTTATGGTTATTTTGAGAAGAAATTTGATGGCAAATTGATTTTTTGTTTGTTTGTTGTATCTGTTGAAGACAACATGATCATTTTTAAAATTAGAAATTAGAAAGAGTCTGGTAGCATCTTTTTAGACTAATATATTTTAATAATAGACAATCATGCAGAAACCAATCTGAGTCAGTCACCAGGACCAGACCATAACTTTTCATGAACCACAGCTGTAGTTGTAGCTGAGCTGTAGTTCACATAAACATGTTTTTTATTAATGTGTTTAATTTGAAAAGGAACTATCAAACTCATTCTGATTTTTGGCTACTATAGATTAACATAGAAGAATAGAATAGAATAATAACTTTATTGTCACTTTGAATGTACAATAATCGGCATACATTAAAATGAAATTTTGTTGCATACAGCTCTCAAAAGGACCACCACCTCCAATATACACTACATAAATATGACATAAATAAATACAGAATTATGCATATACCCACATATTGACACAGAGAAATAATACAGTCTAGTTCGGGTTATATATACATGTGCATGGCGAGAAAAACGAATCTTTCGAGTTTACCAGACGGATGGCATAGGGAACAAAGCTATTACAGAATCAGGTAGTCCTGCTAGAAATACTTCGAAACCTCCTTCCAGAGGGGAGCAACAGAAACAGACTGTAAAGTGTGTTTGTGGTGTCTCTAGCAATGCTTTGAGTTCTAAGCACATAGCGCTTATAAGCAGCATCCTGAATACCAGGAAGCAATCTTTGTATGATCTTCTCTGCTGTCCTTACCAATCTCTGTTGGACTTTCTATCTGAGGCACTGTTGCCACCAAACCAGACTCCCCTCCTTCCCTGGTATTTTAATAAATCAGGGTGCTTTTAGTTAACTTGAAATTTTTGCTTTATTAAGATAAATTTTACTCATAATCTTTTGCCATCATATCCATCTGTAACTTGGGCTGCCAAAATCAATTCTACTTTCTGAGCTTCATATTTTTTTTGTAGAAATTAATTTACAGTGTGCACACTATTTTTCAAAATAAAATGTTCTAAAAATAAAGGAAGAATATTGTCAAGCACAAAGAACAACACAATGAATTGCTCAGAGTATTTTCTTTATAGCTGTTTTCCCCATAGGCAAGAATCTTGGCATATTAAAGCACACTCTGCATAATTATCCTATAGAATAAATCTTGTGAAGGATAAATGTCTGTGGAGATTCTCGACATCCAGGTCATGATTGTCCCAAAGGTGCTTTTCAAAGGGAACTGAAAGTTCTTAGTTTTTTTTCCTTAAAAATGATTTTCCTTGAAAATGATACCACCTATATCCTGTCTGCAACATAGTCCTCTCAGCTGTACCAGAAAGGGTCCACACCCATTTGCACTCTGATTCAGGTGATCCTGAGAGTATAGATGAACCCCCAGGTGGCCTCAGGTGGACTCAGAGAGCTAACAATCAACTTTCGGAGAACTAACATCCAGATGATTGCAAAGAATATAAATCCTTCCCCACCATTCAGTCAGAGCTGAAGAAGCTTCTTGAAAAGTGAAACATTTTCAAGAAAAAAAAAACTAAGCAAGTGCAGTTGGCTTTTGAAAAGCACCTTTGGGAGTTGTGAAGATTTAGGGAGGATCCTTCCTGGCCCTTTTTCTGTCTACCAAGGACACAAGGCTGATTTCCTTCTTAGCTCCTTGTGAGAGACCCCTCCCCCCTCTAGATTCAATTCCAAATTCCACTACAAATATAAATCAAATAAGCTTCAGCACAGTGACTTATTTAATTCTGTACCATCACATGATACAATAACTATAGTTACAGGTATAAGAACCTAAAGGGTGTGAAAACTAATGGTAGAAGGTTTTCTTGGTGTTTGTAGGTCTTTGGTTATTCGGGTTTTCTCCCGCGTAAAATTGGAAGTATCTTGGCGACGTTTCGATGAAGTCTCATTCGTCATCTTCAGACTGGTGGTCCGAAGACATAGGTTTATGCGCTACTTTTACATTATATGGCGCTAATAATCTTGCCGTTGCCTCTGAGACATTGCAGATATAGGGGAGGGTAACACGTGTCATCTGTGATATTGATTCATAGGTTAATGGGTTACTCCGGGATTCAGATGGAATACTGTAATGTTTAATGAATCTTACCGGGTACCCATTGCGCTTGCATATCCGGAAGAGATAGTTTCTTTCTTCCTTCTTTGCTCTAGCGGTACTACAGTGGAGTCCCACTGTAGTACTGCTAGAGCAAAGAAGGAAGAAAGAAACTGTAGTACTGCTAGAGCAAAGAAGGAAGAAAGAAACTATCTCTTCCGGATATACAAGCGCAATGGGTACCCGGTAAGATTCATTAAACGTTACAGTATTCCATCCGAATCCCGGAGTAACCCATTAACCTATGAATCAATATCACAGACGACACGTGTTACCCTCCCCTATATCTGCAATGTCTCAGAGGCAACGGCAAGATTATTAGCGCCATATAATGTAAAAGTAGCGCATAAACCTAATCAAACGCTACGCGCTGCCATTATGCGCCCAAAGGACCCGCTCCCCAACATGGAGAGATCGGCAGTCGTATACAGGATTGACTGTACGGACTGCCCATGCAACTATGTTGGGGAGGCTTCTAAACGTGTAAAGACCAGGGTCCACGAACATAAACTGGCAGTAAAAAGGGGCGAGCAGCGATCCCAAATATGGGTACATATGGCGGAATCTGGCCACCGTTTCAACTTCAATGAAGTACGCGTCTTAGCCAGTGACAACATGAAGGGAGGCTGCTTACTTAAAAAAGCGTGGCTCTCTAACAGAGACTCGATTAACCAGCATATTGACCTCTGCCCAGCGCACCTAGCGTTAAGATCATGGAGTGTGGACAATCGCCCACCCCGTTGCGGACAATCTGATGGCATATCTAATACACCAACAAGGGAGATCAAGGAGGAGGTGTTAACCCCCCAACAGGATATAAACAAC